ATATCAATTGATAGATAAATATTTTTGATTGAGTTGAGTCTGTGGGTATTGTTGGGCGCTGGGTACAGATTATTTACTTGGAACCATGTGGGAATTTTGAATAGATATTTTTGAAACCTGAGAGCCTAAATACTAGTTAACCTTTTGCTGACTTAGGTATTATGGATCAAGTCTATTCGATTTTAATCGCATCATCTTCATCAACCTATAAGTGTCCACATCTGAGCAAATGTTCTTTTCACATGTTCTTTTTTCTTTTTTTTAAAAAAAAGAGTAACGAATGGAGTTTCTTGCTCGTTCTTCTCCATTCGAATCTACAATTTGGAATGAGCACCTAGCTTCACTGACGAACAGACTGACAGACTACTTTTCTATTTTGACGTTTCAAAAGTACCTATTGATGGTTTAGTTGGAATAAATGATTTTGACTTTGACTTTGACTTTGACACTGAGAACGTTTGAGCATTAATCACCACGCTTGATCAAGGCGCATTGATGATTTCAAACTTAAAATTTGAAATTTTCAGTCCAAGTTTCCTCACGGTGCTTTCCTTCACCGTTTGTCAGTTGCGTCTAAATAAACTTAAAACAATCGCACTAAGTGCTTAATAGTTTATCGGTAGGTATATATAAAGCCTATTTTTTAAGAATCCTTCCCCTTCCCCGACCCTTTCCCAATCCCTAAATCTCCAAATCCCTAATACCTAAAAGGTCGGCAACGCACTCGTAACTCCTCCATTGTGGGTGTATATGGGCGGCGTTGATTACTTACCATCAGGTAATCCGTATGCTCGTTTGCCGACTTATGACATTAAAATAAAAACCTAGACAGAAATTTATCTAGCATCAGCATCTATGTCAAACAAAACCTATAAGTAAAATAACTCTTAATAAACAATCAATTGACAGCTAGGTAACAATAACGATGCAACACAATACATGACTAGACCACCTCTTGCCAACACAAAGCGTGAAGATAAACAGGCAGGACGGTAGATGGGAGGCGGCAAGAGGACGCGTCCGTCCGTCGCGCCTCTCCGCCTGCCGACAGAGCGACACTCCGACGCGACGCCGATGGCATGACCTATGGGGGCTATCGGAGATAAGACATGGTGACCAAAGTGCAACCGAGATGGGATATTATTGTCCCATTTCCATGGCCATTCATTACACGCTATTGTCTCATTGTTAAATGGGTTAAGTTGCTAATAAAAATACAACGTGTTGAAGCATTTAGGTGGGTACGGTATGGGGTTTTTGTTTTTTGAAAATGTTTGAATTATTAGTTGTAGAGCAGTTAACTATAATTTGATTCGGGAAAGAACTTAGGACTTTGTGTAGGTACTGGGGAACTATAATGAGTAAGAGAACGTAAGGGATAAGTTTACAAAGTAAGCCATGAAACTGAGCCCTCGGTAGACACCATAGGTATAAGGTGCAAACCCCTTCATATTTATAAATATGACCTTCTACACTTTCGATCGTAAAGGGGACAATAAACAATGCACTAGCTATGGGCTACATTCTGAACCAAAATCACCTACAAATAAGTTTCATAGTCCTTGTATCACCTATAACCCTGCTTATCCCAAAAACAGTAAGCATCCCCCATGGTTGGAAGGGCGCAGATCGGTTGGCGGCGCGGGGGCGCGTCGGCATGGCGCGCGGAGCCGACTGGGTGCCGCCTGCTACCGCGCCGTCCGGTCACCTAAGCCCAATGTTGCCAGATAACATCGGTCCGCACCTCGCCACCTCGCCACCTACTGAGTTTAACCAAACTTCATTTCAGTTTAAAAATAAACACTTGTAGTTCAAGCTTAAAGTATTTTTAAGAGTCGTTAATTTTGGAAACTTATCTCCTTTGTGCTGTAGTTGGTTTCTTTTCTAATGATTTTGACTGCTCTTGACCTTAAACAGACTTTTAGAAGAATTTTTAAACAATTTCCTCATTTAACTTTGGTCCTATTCATTTTAAGTAAAGCGGCTCTGCTTGTTGACGTTGCTTAGTCTGATAAAGGCTGTAGGAAACAGCTGGATAATATTTAATCTTGTAGCTACTATGATAAATAGGATCAAATCAATGGAATAAAATAGAATAGAAAATTAAATAGACGGTCCATTCAAGATCACTAACATAATCCATCAATTTCTAGACATCTATACCAAAAAATAACATAGAAAGAAAATATACAAAAACATACGTATTTTCCTCTGAAGCTAGCAACACTAAGATCGGTGCCAATCTTCAGTTCGTTACTTTATTATTCGTTATACAAGATGATAGTACATGGACGCATTCGCCCATGAAACTGACAAATTAGACTGTTGTTCACTTCATTCTAGATATCAGTCGCTTTAGTGCTATTCATCTCACTTATTTCTGCTTAGTACCTAGTTTATTTATTTACAGAGCTAGGCTTTCGCTTAGGTCTCTGTCTAAGATTGAAATTTATCCAAAATATCATGCCTTAATTGGTCAGAACACTTCTGAAATAGTGTTAAAACTTATTGGTTCTCACTTAGCTCACTTCGCTTCCATCATTGGCACTTAAACTTTAACCCCCTTATTACAAAACAAGGTTTATCTTTAGTCCAGGTTTAAACCATTGAGTCGGGTTTTGAATTTTGAATCTTATTGTCCGAATTCCTTCAATTCGAAATACGAAAAATTGGCTCAATGGCTTAGTCCTAGACTAAAGTAAAACTTTGTTTTGTAATAAGGCAGTAAGTAATTAGTTAGTTAAAAAGTTATAAACTACTTATTGAATTTTTTTAAGCTGTTAATTGATTTGGTTAGTTTCCTAATGTTTTTAAATATTCAAAAAATATCTGTTAAGTATGTTTCAAACGGTCTTGTCCTTCTGCTGTTCGTCATCCGTAGATAAAGTAAAAAATCATAGCATTATACATTTGCAAGTTATGTTATTATAAGTTCCAATTAACACACTTTGAAAGAACATTATAGAATACTGAACACCACATTGTTAGAGAGAAATGTTGAAAACTATTTTGTTTGACGGGGTGTTCAAACTCTAGCCACGAAGTCCTCTTTTGGTTCACCGAGCCTTTACAAAAGTGACAATTTATGGTTTTATAAAGAAAATATGTTTTTATTATAATATCAATAAAAAATATTTAATGCTCGAACACACGTTACCAATTTTTTTCCTTGCTTCATGTAACTTGCTAATTAATTAGGCGTTCTTAAATCACGTTGACATGATTGCAAATGCAATTCATAGTTGTACGATTCTATAAAGCAAAAATATGAGATACCTCTTAATAGGTACCTGCATTAGAAATTCAGTGTAGCAGGATTACGGATAAGTCAGTACATTACACGGAACCAATAATGTAGTACAAAAAAATCCAAATAATGTAGTATTTAATATGTAGATCGTAGAAATAAATAAATCTCGGAGCGGCTCACAACAATCCTTCAATGTTTTCGTGTAGGGGAAATTGTCACTTGAAATCCGTTCCCCTAGTTTCCTATACTGCCTACGTGCTTACTCACTCAAATCGCGGGCTTTACGATCTCATTCAGTTTCATTCACGAGTCCCGTTCGTGGATGCATAAATAGCGGGATATTTCGCGGTTTCGCGCCATTCCCGCGCCGACCGGCAGCCATGACACGCGTAGCCATATTGGAAAATGTACGAATTTGTTCACGACAATACATAGAAGTTTAATAAATATTATCTAATTATAAATTTTAGGATTATTGTTATACTTGGATTAGTGGATAATGTTATGTGTATTATAAGGATGATTTTAAGGATTATAGAGATTTTATGAGGTAAGTTTTAGTAAATTGAAAAAGTCGCAAGTTTTCACAACGTTGCGAGTTGGATTTGAATCTTTTATGTTTGCTTCAGTTCTGTTATGTTTTATTAATTCGAAAACAAGAAACACATAAAGTAAAATAATTTTTTAAACATTTTGATTTTTATTTTTTGTTTTGGCAGTACTTACGAAAAACGGCAGACAAAATAAAACACTTTATTCTGTCAGCTTTTTATTTTAATCCGTTGCCTATCCTTGTTGCTTGCTTTAAAATTAATTTTATTACAGCTTGTATAATAAAAGATGGCGCCGACGTCTATTTAAAATGCAATGTTGATATAAATCTCTAAGCTTATGCTAATATTTCCTTTATGTTAGTTTTGGCGCCTTCCCATTGGTAAATTAAAATATTCTCGAGCATTATTGTGGCAATTCTTGTTTTTGGTATTAGATGTAAACAAGTTTATTAGAATGTAGGTAATGTTGGCTTGTAATGTTGTTTATTTAAGTACAATGCGCGGCCGCACTGGTGGCGCCAAGAAAACTGTTAAAATTAATTCATTCGCGATTGTGAACAAGACAATGCACCAGTTGTCTGCACAAATTACATTTCAACATAAAATAGACATTTTTATTTGCATTGAATGTAAGTAGGTTCATAGGTTCTAGAATTATTTAAGACTTAAAGTTTCATTGATCTTTAAGAGCCGTTCGAACGGTTTTATCTCGATATATTCTGTAGTGTTTGTATGAACAGAGTTGCAGTAGTATCATCATCATCAATTTTGCTTACAGTAAATTTTCCGCATTGAGTAATTATTTAACGATGCCACTGATAGATAAAATATGATCTTAAACGAATTGTCAGCGACAAAGCAGATTTTCATTCAGTAATAAAACAACCTTAGCTATAAAGGGGCCAAAAAATAGAAGCGAGCTTGTATCAGACCAAATCGAACTCAATAACTGATCAATCCTAAATCTCTAGAGTAAGATCGTTTTGGATAAGTAGTTATTGAAGATTTGAACTAAATTTAAGATACTTAAATCCAGGATTTGAGCTATTGCCAGGTTTTCAGGTCAAGCTCAATAAGTTAACGCGGCTTCGCCTAGAGCAGGAGAAGAAACGGGGGGTGTTAGTCAGTAAGAGACTGACACTCCATCTTGGCGTACCTCCATTTCTTCTCCATCCTCACCTTTGGCGAAGGAAGTCATTTGGTCGGCAAACGAGCAGAGACTAATCCCGACGCTTAGTAATTAGCCACACACATCCACAACACCAAAGGAGTTACAAGTGCATTGTTGGCCTTTTGTAGGTTGTAAAGGATTTGAGATTTGGAATTTGGGGATTAGGGATGAAAGGGAAATGATTGGGTCTCCGGCAACGTCACACGCAATTTGATACACCAAGCGTCATTTCACCCCTCTATTTTATGAGTCCGTGATACTCCGGTTGTGCCCGCACGTTCGTGCTGAAACATAGCTCCTCTACACTTAACGTACATTTAAGTATTAAGTTTGGGTACAAATTTTATGAAACCTAGAAAGTTGAAGTAGTCATGTCAATAAGTCAAGACCAGAATGTCAATGGTGGAGCAAACAGATAGAAAAACTTAGGTATTTACACGTTTGAAGAGTCTAACCAAATCCTGGGTTTCTCCAAACATTATTAGAATACAAGTCAAACACGTTTAAACATCAATTAAATAGTATTCAGTGTTTACCCCCTCGGACGTAATATCCAATCAGAGCTGCTTACATTTGGTCAGCTTGCCCGCCAGTCCGTCGGCTGAACTGTGACGTCACGCGCTATGCTCGGAATAATAACAGCACAAGCGCCACACCAGTTCCGTGATACGCAATAACATGCTGACATTTAACTAAATACGAGTATTTTTTAAAGAATTTTATTTCTCTCCTATTAAGTATTGAAATTAAATATGATACCTATTGTTGTTGAAAGAGAGTCGAAAGAAACAGAGTCTTCAAATCTAAATTCGTATGACAGTACACATAGCATATTCTAGGCACGATTTCAGATCTACTTTTTTCTTCGTTTCTTCATCATTGAACTGACTCCTTCTTTAAACAGCCTTACCTTGTATATCTATGACATATGCTACAGAATAGTATTAAGAATAAACACCTTCAGGTGGGAAATCATCAAATGACTTCTTTCACCCTGGCTCGAATTAAGTGGGCTTTTTTTTTACGCCGGTTTTCTGTGAGGCCGTGGTCTCACTCTGGTCGAGTCGACCCATTCGTGCCGAAGCATGGCTCTCCCACAGTTAAAGGGACATATTTGGTTGGTCAATATTGTTAGAATCCCTTTTTTGCCAGGGGAAAATCATCAAACGACTTCTCCCGCCCAGGGTAGGGCGCAAGAGAGAGTGTCAGACTCTTACTAACTAAACACTCCCCTGTTCCTTCTCCTGGTTTAGACCGAGGACGCGGTGCCTCATCGCGCTTACCTCGTTACCCCGGCTGAACATCAGCCCTATAGAGCCCCGTCTGTGGTGGTCTATTGGCTCTTTGAGGCGCGCGCGGTACGAGATACCCTTACTCGCCGTCCGCAGACCCGTTTGATCCCTACCCTCCTTCTGATGATAAGTTTCTCCAAGCAGTCAACTCTCGATGATAAGAGTATAATACCGTCTGTAAAAAAGAGGGATTAATACTAAATGTCATTAGGTTATATTGTTAGAAGTACCTACATATAGGTAGGTAGGTTACCTCTGACAATACATGTTAAGTCTCCACAGTAATATGATGTGTTAGGATAGAAAATAAACATTGGTTCAGTAAAGAGACATTAGATTGTTATACTAAATTGTATTGAAGTCCTGTCTTTGGTAACAATCTCTCAAAACCTGACCTCACCAGTGTCAGGATTTGGGAGACCATGGTGGGCTTGTCCCACAAAACTATTGGTCAGGTAAGAGCCAAACAATGGTTACTGTTTTAGTACTGAATCATTATTTATTTTCTTACTTGCATACAAAATGTACGTTTCTAAGCAGAAACCGGCAAAATTTCTAAGTCCTACTCAGGTAATAGACAAGTTGTAACTAAAATCTAAAGAGAAATTAGTCAACAATGTAACAATAAGTTGTTAAACATGAATTGTTATTAAAATAGCTGTACCTATGAATAAAAACCCGATGTCCGTCTGTCTGGGTAGAACTTTAAAATCATTGTCTTGTGGTGTGGGATATTAAGCGACCGTTTACGTTGATATTGTACTAATCAAACTTTTTAAACACGTGGTCACATTTAGAAAAAAAAACTTACAGCTTCGTTAGTCCAATTTTCAGAGCGAAGACAATTAATAATAAAAAATACGTCATATTGTCAGTTCATTCATAAAAACTGGTTTGACCGTAACAAGGTGCCACCTTAGGTCCTAAACCAATTAGGTGAACAAGTACCAAATGTTTTTAATATCATTGGTAACAATAAACTTATAGTAGATGAAAACAAAAGTACTGATGATTGCGAAGAATGCAATATTCCTTTCGAAGTGGAACAAAAAGCAAGAACGAATGATAATACTCATGATCGTAAAAGAAAAGAGAAAAAACCAACAGATAGACTCCATTCAAGCATGTCGAGCAATAAAAAGTAGTTGACAAGTTTTTTACGTAGGTATCATGCCATCATCACAATATTTACTAAGTAAGATACGATTATGTAAGTTTCATTGCTGTCGTAAAGATATTTTGCACAAACATAATGACAGACAAGACGTTTTACTTATTAAAGTTCTTTTTTGAGGATTAATTTGATAGTTACATTAATGCGTTTTATGTAGCGAATGTAAATGGGATCAATGTTTAAAATTTAAGAGAAAGATAATTTTCATTTCTTTCCCTATTTTTTAAATAGTGGGTATTTTATATTGGTAATTGCTTTTCTTAACCTCAACTCTTTCTAAGTTTTCCATTCAGAACATAGACACACAGCGCCATCTACTAGAAACTGTTTACATAACTTGCTCAGGTGTGATTTCAACTTTCGAAGCCGTTCACTTAGAAATGTTTTCCTTGGACTTCTTTTTTGAGCACTATCAAGTATGAATGAATGAACGCTATCTGTCATCGAGTTTTTCAAGGCAAGGTGAGAAACTCCACGTGTAGATAGATAGCATTCTGAAAATATACAATACCGGAAAATTTGTCAAACTATCTCTGACTGATGTATTTTGGGTAAATCTTTTTAAATAAGTATTTTTTCATCATTAGCCGTTGAGTTCTAAATAAACACAAAAGCTATGCACAACCATTACATCTCCAAGCGTAGACAAAAGTTCCAAAACGTTGGTCAAAAAAAAAAAAAAAATCCGAGCACTACAATTCGATCATTACATTTATCTCAACTGCAGCTGCTTATGTGATTGCCATCTGTTACTTGTAACTAATCTAAGAGGCAGGTGGGATGGAAAACCTGAACGAAGTATATCTTTCCATTTGCATACATGCGTCGATCATTGGTTTTATTGAGTTCACAACTTGCAGGTGAGGATGACATTTTAGGAAATTGAATAGGCGTCCGACAGTTATATCTTAGAGGGTTGAGTTACCTTTCATCATATAGGTTTTACATTACTTATACTGCAGAAGTGGGGCCGGTTATAAACTCCCTTTTACTCGGGGCCGTTAGCTCCGTGGTTAATCCATCAGTGTTAGATGTCTGCCTATCTCCCAGTTGCTTTAGCGTGAAGGTGAGCGGCGCCGCGGCACGCTGCTAGTTATCTTGTACGTTTATTTTGTTGATGTGTCTTTTAGCTCTGCGCATTCCGAACCATGAACAGTCATAGACTAAGAAAATAATTCGGAAAGAGTATTTTAATAAATTTCGTGTTTTTTAAAGAATCTTTTAAAAAAATATAGTGGTCCCATGTAAGAACCTTGCGGTACTCCTATTTTAAATTATTCTGGATTTTTAAATCACGAGGCATAATTACACTATTAATTTTGTATTTGTTTTAAAATCTGTATTGATATGAGATTCAAGATTTGTAGAACCGTACTGGCTGACTCATAATGTTTACCACTTGAAGTAATCTGTTTTAAATGCTTTACTAAAGTCTAAAATGTATTGTTTTGAATAAATTCCTCGGCTATAACTATACATTACATTATTGTGCGAAATTGATTTGTGTTTTCATGTTCCTTCATTGCCTCACTGATGGTTAATCCCGTTTCCTATTAACCTCACACTCTGTGTCGCTTCTACACGGTCGGCTAGGCGCTTGTCTGTGTTCGGTGGCGCCGCACGCACACACGCGCGCGCACCTGACGCCGCCGGTGGCGCCAGCCGCGCGGCCCCGCCCCCGCGTCCCGCACACCCGCAACTGATAGACGTTAGCAACCAACTCCCCATTTTATGGGAGATTTGAGCTGTTGATCACAAATAAGGGGAGAATTTTCGTGAACGTTTTCAATTATATTACAATTTTTACTTTGGTATTTTCATTTCATTTTTAGTCTAGTTAGTATTTTGACATAATTTTTAAGAAATTTAGTTATCTGTATGAATTTTAATACTTTATAAAAGTCACGTTGTTGACAAGATTGCATATTTGCCTGATTATTACGATTAGATAATCATACAATGAAAATAATATCACGAGATAGTGTCGATTGTGGTAGTGTACGTTTGTTGAACAATATTATAAATGACTCCTGGAGTGATGATAAAGTTGGCATGTTCATTGTTTCTATTTTTGTGACACGTTGTTTTGGAAAAAGTGGCAAATTTGCCTAGCTATAGAAAAAATCTCTTCTGTAGAAATATAAAGAAAATAATAAATGGGGTATTAGAATCAGGGTAAATTGTATTCAGGTGTTGCACACCAGGCCGCGTCACTGCACTAGCCGGCGGAACGTAGTGTCCGTCAGTCGAGTGCCCGCACGCGGCGAGCGATGACGTGCCGCCAGCGTGAGTGTGTCGCGTGGCGCGAACGGCCGCGCGACTTGTGACCCCGTCGTCGGCATGTGATGTTCCGGAGACGCGCGCTGCGGCGGCGGCTGGAGGCGGCCGGCGCGCCTTCCTTGTCCGACGACCAGCTGCGGCGGCTCGCGAGGGCGTTGGACGCGGGCTCCGTCGGCGGGGAGTGCGTGCCGGCCGGTCACGCCGCCTCACAACTCCGACTTGCAGTCACCCGCCTCTTCAGGTTCCCCGACCTAAGAGACTCCAGCGAACTTCGCCGCCTACCCCTGTGCGCTGACCAGCAGTGCTGCAATCCGTACCACTGGAGCCGTCTCTGCAAGCCCGGTATGTGTGACGTGATCAGGACGTTGACCCGCGCAACAAGTGCATCAAGTAAACATCGATGTCGTACAAATCTTGGGCTCAGTGTTCCTATGCCGTGTTTTGAATGTGTTTGCTCGAACAGTTTGTGTGAATGGAAGATCAAACGAATGAATGGTCGCCGCCGATTGTGATTTGAATCAAGAACATCGCTGAAGACGAGTTTGTTGGAAGTTTTCGGCCGTCGAAACGTTTCTAATTCGACCTAACCTTTTCTAACCTAACATAACCTAGATAGTCTTCATTAATTCTGCTTGAAGTGTCGTTACTTGTTTGTCAAGTGTTCTGGAATGTGTTACAGTATTCATGGAACTTATCTCTGGATTGTGAAGCTGAAGTTTTTTGAGAAATCACACAATTTATAGTTACGTAGAGCGTTCACTCGGGTTGCACCTATTTATCAGTGCGATTCGTTATCAGTGTATTATCGCTACTGTTTGTTTCTGTATCTATAGTTACGTTGCCAGTGACGTCAGGCTGCTCCGGTCACATACTCCACCGGCATTTGACACAAGTACGATATACAACACCATCCCTACATTAGATTGTTAGTGTAAACATTAGACTTCGGCGATCTATTTATAGCTGTGACATCAGCAGTAGTTTCTTGGATTTGTTGTATGAAATTTCAAAGGTCAACTTTCCTTCGGTGTTTAATTGTTTAACAGATGTTACTATTCAATTAACTATTAATGACTTCGTTATTTGGATTGGTATTTTGATCGATTATCTAAATGTGTTTGCACTTTCGATGTTAGTAGACTCGGAAAGTAAAAGTGTTCCAATCTTATTTTTGCTCGTGATTAAGATTCTCCCTCCGGCGTGAGTTGCGTAGTCGGGGTGTGTAAAAAGCAACTCGCCTAATCTGCCGTGGCGAGGGTCACCCGTTCGCGATAACTAGACAAGGTCGAGTCGCCGGCGCCGGCGTGCCGCGACGCTCGGCGCGCGCAGCCCGTTAACTTTTTAATTCGTCAGGCAATGGCGCTACCGCCTTTGTTAGGTAAATAGCTACATTCCGCCGCCCGGCGCTTCCTGAGGTCGTACGAGTGACCCTTCCATGATATCATCGCAGATATTTGTCCGCGATCATGTTTTCGCCTCGTTTCCACGTCGAGACTGACAATCACATCTCTGATGTCACTTTACTTATAATTTATGTTAATTTTCTTTTTCCTAATCGCATCTTAATTTAGATGTGACTAAAACTTGTTTCTTGTGCTTCTCTTATCTTTTATAATTATTTGTGTTTTTTTTATTCTTTTTGGTCAAATTGATGTAATCTTATTTGCTTCCATTCTAGAATATTTTTCGTTATTATCATTTCTATGAAGTTTCTAAGAGTATTGATACAACTGCATAAGTTCACTTATGCGTATTATATAGACAGAGATTTCTGACAATCATCAGAAATCAAACTTAAAACCAAGTCCAAACGTCAAAAACCTACCTACCTAAACCAAATTCGCAACCAATGATTTTTCTCAATACCTATATAAAAATACACCATAACGGGCAAGTGAAGTAACAGAGATTCACTCAAGTTTCCAAACTAATGAGTGACCATGACATCTACTCACGCGCAAGTCGCGTCGCCTACTTAAGATCGACGCCCACCTTATACTTCTCACTGCTCGTGGGTGTACTGACAATGCCTGTTAGCATATTAATTAAGAAGAAAGCCAAGTAAAAATATGAATATTTATGTTTCCTTATGAGGACAGACCTGTGGTTGGGAACCTAAGGGCCGCAACTTCGTGCGGAAGACGCATTTGAACGGAACAAGTTCTGGCAACAATTCCAACTTGTTTCTGGAAGTTATATTAAAATAACAATATATTTTTCTATCATGTGTGACCAGGAACATTTTGGTTATTTAAGAAATATTGGAATACGAACTAAGTAACTCCATTATGAGGCTTCATGCGTCCAAAACACGATCAACGTGTTATCAGAACGCCTATTTCTTTTGCCGTTCACTTTCGCTACGGGATCGCCATAAATGGACATCAAATTGGCCAAATAAGTTTCACATAGGCATTCCAAGTTGTGTAATTTACTAAAACAAGTATCTTTGGTTCTAAAATCATATTTGTTTAAGGGTTCTTAGTATATATACCTAGTCCAAAAAAGTCCAAAGAATTTGGAATGTCTGCGCTTCCAAATATTTTAAACAAAATAGTTTAGGATCTAAACAAAAACAAAGTAATTGCTATTGTTTCCGATTTGGATAACATCCGTGAAATGTTGTTGTTTAGAAACCGATCAGTTGCGCTTACATTCCAGCATCCATCCATCTTCGTTTGTTTTCATTTCTCTTGTCGGCGTAATTACAAAATACTGTGCTGTGGGATGGAGCCGCTATCGTGCCACCTGGCTCCATTAGGTCGTCACCGCAGACGCTTCCAATGCAGGTGAACTTTTTTCCGTGGTCTGTCGCGACGAGTTCGCGACGCCAGTGTTTTTGTTCACTTTCCCGTCTTGTTCCCACAGCGTGCCCACTAAATATAGTCGCCATTATTCCTCGCACATTTGATTTGTGTGCGCATTGCCAAACGAAGCAACAATCAACAGTTCCCAGCTTGCTTGTGTTTTAGTCTGGTTCTAATTTGATTCTACTGCTAATTAACATTTTCAGCCTATGTAAACATTAGATTAACATTCCCCAGTCAACTTTAGTTGCATTGACCCTCTTCAATAAACCTCAGTAAATACGGGTAATTATTTCAGTTTTACGATCTTGCAGATCGTATTACGGCTCATCGTAAATTTAATCATCGATATGTTTATTGTCGTACACCTGCTCGATTTGATTCATCACTTTTTTGTTTTGTCCGTCGAGACGTTCTTTTTTTAGACGAACAAGATGAACAGGAAATCCTTGTCCAGTCTAGATTGCAAGCATCCAATTTATTCACGCAGATCAATCGTACAGCGAGTTTGGGGCGCGTGGTCGCCAATCACTAGCAATCAAGCCGCGCGGGCCTCTATTTGTGAATGTTTTTATGCGAGCCGGCAGTTTTCGAACGCCTGCTGGTGGGAGGAGAGGGGCTCTTATCTTATCGAGCGCAGGCGTCGACGCGACGCCGCCGACTCACAGGATCAAAGATTGCCACGAACTCGCGGCCGCTTCGGCACGTTCGCCGTGACTATCCACCGGCCTGTCATCTCATACCCATTACGGAAATCAGTCACCCACATCCGGCAATTAAACCCACATCCACGACGGACAAACATTAACGAAGAATTCTAACTACCATTTACAAGTAATTTGGTGCCCACACGCCATTTCACCGGGCCATTACAAGTGGGGTCCAAAATTTAATGATGTCGTCTAGATAGCAGTATGTGAATCCATCTGTTGATGTTAGCGACGCGTCGGAGGCGGCGGCATGGCCGATATTTATTTAGCCATAATTGCTTGTCGGCTGACTGGCGCCGGCGCCGTGTCGCGCCGCGCAGGCGGGGGCACGCGGGCACGAGGGGGGCGGGGCGCGCCTGCGCCGGCGCAGGTACGCCCGCCGCGCGCCGCACTGCGTAAGCTCAACTCGATTTTCGTGATCGGTTTTTTTCTTGTTTTATTGTAGTCTGGTCATGTTTTTGGGTTGCTTTGTTGAATTTGTGAATGGTTTTCTTATAATGGCCGGTCGAGAATAGGCTAACATTAAAAGAAATCTTTACAGCTAAAATGTTAGTGGTTACTCGTCGATAGTTGTTTACTCAGTAGTACAATAATACAAAGAAGCTTTTAATAGCGTAGTGCGTGGCGTTCACATTTTTCAGATAAACGATCAGCAAACGCTATTAATCTCCGGCGGGTTTACTTTCAGATTTGATATTATCGACTTAAGTACGTGGTCGCAGACTGTGTCACAAAATAGCCCATTGACTGGCGGCACCTGTGACAGAACCGGTCGCTCCCGACGGTGGCTCTTGCGAAACTGGAAAAATTGTCGTCTTTTATTACCTACACGTACCGGAGCGAGCCGACGTGTAGCCGATCGCTCATTTCACTGCTTGTTAGGAGGTCTTTTGACCAATTTACAAGTTTCAGTGCTAATTTATTATTAACTTTCCGGCTACTTAACATTTCGTGATCGTAGTACCGTACTAAAATTATACATCTCGAAATACAAGCCTGTCCTGCGCAGACAGGTCATAATTATTGTAGCTAATTACTCGCCAAATAAATTAGTAAGTTACAAACGCAATTTAGGAAGAAATGTTGTCATTGGCACGTTGCAGTCACGTTAGGTCCAACGTGCCACTACTTAGAAATGGTTTGGACCTTGAAATACTTAATTTCATCTATGAATCAGTTTCTAGACAGTGGAAGACTAGATCGAAGATAATTTTAAAACAGTTGGTGATAGTTAGTTGAGTGACTCAAGTCTAACTAATAAATTTGTTCGTAATGTTACAAGTATTTCGGCGGCACGGCAGGTTATCGCTTAGAAGAGGCCTTTTTGGGGATTAGATGAACCGTTACCAAATGGGTATAATATATTGAAATCAAATTATTCTTAAATAATGCTTATTATGTGTCCGTATCTTTGGCCAAACACCTGTTTGATCGTCAGGTTTTACATCAAGTCGCCTTGAAATCATAATATTAATTTATGTTTCGATATTTTGTTGTGATTCTAATTTACTATTGATGAACAATGACTTGACAAAGTGGTTGAAGTATTTGTGGAGGCATGAGCATCCCATGAGGCTGATGATTATGAAACAGCACGAACCTTGGCAGCTCTCTCACGTTACCATTTCAATGAATGCCTGCTTAACTTTACGTTTTATGTTTCACTAATGAGCGTTAATTATATCATCAGAAGTGCCGGTGCTTTAATATGTAAACTAACTTGGATGATGGCTACAGCTCCGATCACTTTAATTGGGTATAATTTGTTTTTCGACCAATCAGAGCCCTTTGAACTTTTGTAGTTTCCTATCGATTTTTATTATGTTTTAAATGTCACATAAGCTATGTTTGTTTTGGGTGACTACTCATCGATCTCTAATTGGATCTTGTTTTACATTTCTGACCAGCTATGATGTTACTTGGGATCAGAGACAATGTCTACACGCTAAGTTCTTTCATATTGTTAATAAATTTCAGTATTTACTTTACTAGTATTAAAATTCAAAGAGGCATTTGCTTCGTTTCCAATTTCTCAAATACAAGTTTCATCATTCGCGTCAATGTCGATATCAAGATTGATAGTCATCACCACACCAAGTTATTTCAATAGCTTTATTTTATTGTGGTTCCTTAATTATTAACCTTTGCACGTGTTCATTCTACAATTGGCTGTACCTGCATTTAATTTTACCGATCAATCAACGCCCGACTATTTGCATCATATAAATTCACCTCGTATTGTTTGTACGTCATTGCCTTCCGGTCCTGCCTAGTGCCGACAACCAAGGTCCACGGCGACATCATACGTCAATACATTATCGTATATACAACGCCATCTAGTTGTCATATTCTACACTACTTTGTTAAATGTATTGAATAAAACTATCGAATATTCTTATTGCATAAATTGGCTAAAACTAAAAATAAATTAAGGACCATTGTTTTTTTGTTAAGAAACATACATTTCAAAAGCATTGTCCTTGCTTTTTAGTGATTTACATATGTCAATGTTATAACTATGCTAAAAGTGCGTATCGGAGAACTCATAAAACAAGTTATCTAAAACAAAACAAATGTGAATAACAAAAAGTAAGGTCTCACAAAGATCATTGAACATTGTGACTCTTCTAATTTTAGGGTCATTGATTAAGAAGATTTCGTTGTGGTCACATAAGTATGTAGTCGAGATAACCAGAAAAACCTTGATGAATAAGTAGTGGTATCTAGGGTTTATCCTAGCGTCCGCGTGGGAGCTGCCGACGTGCGGCCGCCCGGCGCCGCCGGAGGCGCCATCCGACTTGTTATAATTCGGGCGGGCTATTTTCGTCGATTCACACGCGCGCGCGCCACGTTCCATGCGTATAACCGTCTTTTTTTGAATTTTACACTTTTGTTGCTAGGTTAGAGCCCAAAATCCTTAAGCACTGCCATGCAATTTTGTACCTCAATTACTCATCCATTTACTTTGAATCCTGGTAAACTTAAAACGTCGCCCTAAATGAGTTTCCTGTCGAGAGTTGTAACGGTTCATTCTCTAATCGGTTTACTAAGTCTGTGACATTTTTTGTTGTTGTCAGCTTGTCCCATTTGGCAATAACAGGCCTTCTGATCATCATTGTTTAGTCCAAAAATATCTTTAAGTTCCTCCTTGTGTTTTTTGCGCAATTACAAACTCAAATGTAGGAGTTATAAAAACTATTAACAGAGTGTGAGTTTACAATGTGTCCCGGGAATGTTCAGGCGCGTGGCGTTGTCCTTGAGACGGCTACGTGATGGTGCGCCGTGACGCGTTTCCACAGTTTTCTGGCAGATTTATGGTGTATTAAAGTGGATTTATTGATTGTTTATTGTTTTCGATTTAGATTTCTCAAGTAATAGACTGAGATTTGTAGTTCGGTCTGTTTATCGATGTAAACAATGTTTATTTTTCTATAATAGACTTACAAGAAATTGTTTATGAAGGATGGATGAAAACTGCGTATTGCACCTCGTTGTGATAACTAATCACTGACATAACTCAGGCTATGACTATTGGAAAACAATACAAGAGAGATGAGTTATTGAGATTAAAAACTAAAAATTTGGAAGAGGAAAACAAATAGATGTAATTATTTTAGCAATGACATGTAGTGTGAAGCCAAGAGCGCGTCAGTACGAGGACCGACGTCATTTGATACGCAATGTGATGTAGAAAATATTCAGTCAACAATATGGGCGTACTCTCCGCCATCTCTGCCCAGGGGACATTGTCACACACCTTTCTACCGCTCGCAAGTTGGCAAACCACACCACTTCATTCGTTCAAATCCAAAGCGAAGATTTTAAATAGTATACTAGATGTTTCCTTCTTATAAATGATTGATGGCAACAACGGTAACTTGGATTTTTCTGGACTGTCGACAATTTTCGGATAACCTTCTTCGCTTGCTTATCAATCGGGCTGATTTGTACCTAGGTTTTGAGTCTTTCCTGTCGAAAATACAATTAAGACATTTTCATTGAAGACTATTGAGAAATCAATTACAAAAAACTTCATTATGAACTTAGTGATGACAAAAGTAATCGGTATAAGATGTTAACGCAGGAAATATTAATCTAGGTAGTATTTAGGCCAGGCATGTGACTATGGAACATTGGATCAAAGTGGCTATGGATGCAAAAAATAAGGGAACAAGGATTGGACTAGCAAATTAAATTTGAGTAATTAAATATGTATTATGAAAATTTTGGGCAGAAGAAGCGCAAGAGAGATACATTTTAAGGTCGTTTTAAAAAAATATATCACTCTATTGACTACATTAAAATCATCTCCAGTAAAATCACATCCTAAAACAAATGTAGAAATGTCTTAAATTCCACCACACAACAAAGTCAATAATTTTCTAAACATAACTATGAATCAGTGCATATTTACAATTTGGTAGAGCGGTGCGCCGGCGCCGGCTTGCCAGCCCATCTACGCTGCTCGATTGTACAACACTTATAAATCGTTCCACTCTATTTCTATACCCGTTTCTGATTTATTTCGTTGCATAGATTTTGCTTTTATGGAAGCTTTGATTAAAATGGACCAACAAATATCCAAACACTTGAAATTGTCTACAGAACGTACAATAAATTCTCCATCACACCTCATCAGACTTCCACTAAACGCGATTTTCATAAAGTAACTGGATCAAATAGTGTTGCAGCAATTTTAGATTATCTAGATCGATTTTATGAGCAGGCTAAAGTGTAGAAATAAACATCAGTTCGCGTTGCACTCCGGCCAGCATAAAGTTGTAAGCCATTGCAATAAACCAAGAAAACTGGCTTATCAATAACTGTACCATTTAATAGGGTAACTGTCCTGCACTGATCAAAGCAATTGAATAAATTTTTTGATATTTATTATCGCCGCCGCCGCCATACTGGTTGCAGAACATACTGTGAATAGAGCTATGGACGCGGAGGGAGCCGGCCAGGCTGACCGGTTCGCCAGTTACATAGTAATCGAAGGACAAACTGACAACCTACGGTATTTATTGCTATAGATTGAATGTTTAGATTAATTACACATGCCGGGCCTCCATACGCGCCTACCGTAATACTTATCTACCTCATCAGACGGCATTCCATCATGTGCACATCAAATTTAAGCTTTATCTAAATTTGTACAGAATCCATTCTTCATTGACGAATCCCTTCGATAATTGAAACACGATATACCACCACGTCACATTGAAATCTAAACCCTCGCCCCTCGACATTCGATACAAATCAATTTGCACTCGTTGCAAGTTTAAGCTTCGAAGCAAATGAACTAATGATTTCTAATTAAAGCTGTTAGGAAACTGCACTCTATATCGGTCACGACAAAGTCTTTTTTCCGTTAATAATGTATGGTGTTTATGATGTAACAATTGTAAAAGTAATTTCAGTCACGCCACTCTCTATATATTTATATGCGATAGTTTGATGTTGCAAAAAGGTGAGATATCACGGGTGTCGTTGATTTGAATATCAGTTTTATCGCGACAGATTAGAGTTTGTTTTAGCTGTTCGTAAATGGCAAGGTTGTTGTTGAGCTCGCTCGTATGGACATAAAGTTCAACAACAATATTATTTATAACTGCTAGATGCTACGCTAGGCGTTTAGGGTCATTTACTCTTGCATCGTTTACTCTTTTTTCAGCTGCAGTGTGTCGGCTGAGCGTCGAAAACATGTGACTCATACAGCTCATATATATTCATAACACTGAAAGGAGTCTTTAATCTTATTTGAGACGCTGTCGACTAACATTTAACGTCTGTGTACCTAGCTGTCAACAAAATCGTACACTTCTAATAAAATAAAATGAATTTAAGTGCACTTAAAGATTCTACCACGCAATAAAAACGAATAAAATCTCACATGATTTATGTTGGATCTTCAAAATTCCAAGTTTTATCATCATTCGATATGCAGGTGCATGCATTGATTGTTTAGAAATTTCTTGTGCAAACGCCGTTAAACAGTTCTGAGAACGGCGCGCCAATGTCCATCATAAAATCATACATTGAATTCAGTGATTATAATGGTCATATAATTTGTATTCAAAATGTCCAGCGGCATCGATTCGGTTGAAAAACAATGTTGACACGTCCACAGCCGCCTGGCGCCGAATTGCAAATGACAATTGCACAATTCACATTCAGAATTTGAAAATACTAATGGCGTTCGAAATTCTAAATGACCAATAGCGCGTGCCTGTTTGTTCGTAAATGGAATAGATCGCGCTCTGGATTCAAACGACATTATTTAACGTTACTTTGTTTGTGTTCTTTCCTGGTTCATTCTCAGAGCCAAGCCATACTTATTGAAATGTGGAAATTATACCGTCTCGTCTAGCCCCTCACAAAGTATTGTGGCGGCTTGAGGTCGTTTTAAGTCATTTTGATTGTCCAAAATTACACATTCGTCACAAATGACAGCGGTATTTGATCGAAAAGGGCACATAAAATTGTCGTTATGAGGTCAAAATATAGGTTAGTCATTATTTAGCCGGTGATCAAGGTTCGATTCCACGGTTGGACATAATTGCGGGCGGTCTGGGATCGTTTTTACCTGATCCGGTTACGTGTTGTTTGTTTTAAGTTGGATTTCTTTTATTTTTTCGGTCGAGACGGGTAACGCGGGTGATTAGTGGCGATTGAAAAAGGTTCTGAGCGATTTTTTGCATTCCTCTTTTAATTTTTCCGTTGAATCAACTTGGTAACTTGATATGTAACTTAATCACGTAACTTTAATGGCAAACTTGTTATTGGTTAGGAAGAGAATATCACAACTGATACATTTTGTAAATGTACCTAGTATAGTTTACCATTTTTTAAGCAACCATTTCTTTAAATAGCCTTGCATAGAAACTAATTTCGTTTTTTCTTTCTTTACAGAAACCCCTCCTCCACCTTATAGTCGATACGCAATGGAAGACCTCAAACCTAAAGGTAAGAAATAACTTCAATTCGATGTAACCTTAAACCTTGGTCCTGTAAATGTTGACTTGACAGACATTATTGTATACAACAATCAAATTTGTTAGTCATGTAAGTCTTTGAGATTTGAAACTTTAATACAAAAATAATAAGACTTTATTTTCCAAAATTCAGTATTGGCTTGTTATTTCAATCCGATCAGATTGATGTTAAGAGCAAAATATACCAGAAATCCCTCAAAGTACACCAAATAAATCTAAGGCCATAATGCGAAAATGTCTAGAAATTTTCGTTATAGGTACATTAAAAAAATATGAAAACAACGCATGGTCATTGATATTGAAACTTGTTTGCATGATTAAAACATAAATAACTGCATCAAGCCCATATATTATTACAGTTTCCTAATAGAAATACAGTGGGCATTATAAAATCATAGATCATAGATGGTCACTGACAAAAGTCGGTAGATCGTGGAATCCGACCGCACCGGCGCCGGCGCAGCTTCCTGGAAATTAGGGATGCTTAGTGTTGTACCCGCTGTCAATATTTAAAAGCATCGATAGATATCTCATTAAAATTTTAATCTTTTTAAAGAACGTAGACTGAAGTTGTCACGCTGAAAAATATTATCACAAAATATTTTTTTTTATCAAAATTAACTAAAAATATCGGAATACATTTTAAAACTTAACACTTTTATCTACAAAACTACATTCAAAGACGAACATACATAAAGAAAAAAAACCGCTTCATTCACATTACTAGCTAATTAACCACAAAGTTTGTTACAAAAAATCACATGTTTACGTAATTTCTGTCATACAAACAGATAATGGTAGCGATAACTACGAACTTCGCAAACACACTTATCGGTGCTAATTAAATACTGTAATTAATAGATGCGGGGTCCGTTGCGGTCGTGCGCCTTGCAGATATCACTATGAATTTTGAACCAATATGTATTGTTTATTTCCTTTACAACAAATTAATCAACAAGTACATTATTAAACAATATTTAAAATAAAAAACTCTTGATGGTATTTGTAAGTGCACATCACTATAGACTCCCGCGCATCCCCACCGTCTCAGGCTGCGCGCGCATTCCAGCGCCATCTTTAAACTACATTATTAATGCTTGCGCCGCTCAGCAAACGGACTTTTGAGTTTTTTCCACGTCCCTTCAAAGGCACCACGCGGTGATCCGGTATTTGTTTATAATAAAGACCCCAGCGTTGATGTTCCAGTATTATTTTCGGTGATAGGGATTTCGGCTTGAATAATGAGAGAGGCACGTGCTTCATATTCTGATAGGTTATTAAATTATACGATTATAAAGGATTAATGAAGATAATTCGAAAATGTAATTAGATTTTTGTCTTTTGCGGCGCAGAAATCGTTTAAATAGGTACCTAAATGTATAAGCTATCGATAATGTATCTTTTGGTACGATAGAAAACGATTGTCCATACCGATTTATTAGCATTAGTTAGTTGTGTTACCGTGTGCACTATGGAAAATGAAGTTTCCCTGTTGTCTACATATTTTTTCCATAAGCTTAATTGTGGGTGTAACTCGTTAAACGCTGTCATCCCGGAAATCCCTGCACAATCAATGCGTGCAAGCATAGGGGTGCAAAATTCACTCTTTATCGCCGGGATTCCCTCGCAACGTTCATCATAGGATTTCCCATGGTTCCTGGCTAACCCCTCGTTTTTCATTGCTTTCGGCGCCTGTCGTGCCATAATCCCTCGTGTTGTTTGCTCAATTTTAAAAGGGTTAGGATTTATTCTGTTAACAGTGACTCGATTGAGACTGATTTGAGGCCATTTTCATCATTTTCATGGGTTTTTCTGCAACCCTTATTTGTACATATTAGGGCCAATGTATACAACCAGTTCTATACAGTGTGATCTCTGGCCTTGCCTCTAGGGTCCTAAGGCTGCTGTTCCTAATCCACTGATGGATAACCGAACTACTGCGTGGGTCTGGCCTCGGGTATAATATTGCTAATTTATGTTCGTAATCAACAATAACGTGATAGCTTTACAATGCTGCGGAATATGGCTTTTATTGTGGTAATTCTGTTGCATTGATATCCAAGTAGAGAGTGTACTATACGGTACATTCTGAATTCAAATGATGGTGGAAAAAGTTATTAAATATTTTGTAACGGGCTTGGATAAGTCGACGAATTAGGACAGAATTGTGATCTTCTAAAACTGCTACTGTTGTTCCTGTCTTGAGAAACTGTATGGCTTTTGTCGAATAGCGGAACCCTCAAACTACATTTAAAGACAAATGTGACAAACTGACAACAGCTCCGGCATACATTAGCTATATCAAACCACTTACGGTTCGAACCTTGATATCCTGTTTTTGAATGGGACCTCTACCCATCCTTTTTCCAGATAGGACTGACATTGACATTCCGGTCGGACCCATTACCGCACTTCCCCGAATCCATTCATACCTTAAAATCATCTGGCGTAACATCCACTGCATTTTAAACCCTGTTACATAGCTTTAAAGATACTTTTTAAAGTGTAAAGACATATTTACGTGTCAAAAATTCGAATTCTCAATTTTGGGCTTTGTTTTTGGAGTCTGAAGTGCGTTCTTTGGTTGCGGAGAAGTTATTTTCGGTGGGTTTAATGGCAATTCTGTGGTTGTGTGCGTGCGGTGATAAAGAGTGTGTCCATTAACGTTATCGTGTCGGTATCGTTGCGTTTATCGAGGCGCCGGCGCCGCTCGGGTGACACAAATATACTGCTAGTATTTGTCTTTTTCTTATATGCACTTACGTCTGTGTATCGTTTACCTTATGCCGTTTTAGGGTAAGCAAAGATGCAACTAATTGAACAATACGAACTTCCACTTCAGATGTATCTTTGATGATTAAAAACGCGTATTTGAATCTGAATCCGAATTGTTTTTAATTTCATATCGACCTGATCTTATCGTGTTATATAATTTGTCATATCTAAAATATTTTCAGAGCATAAACATTTGCAAAATAGTCGGTGTTAAAGTTACACTATGATAAAATTGTAATACGCATTCACACATTCATTTTAAATGTTTTGAAAGAATGTTTACTGTGATATTTTATTCTTTTCATTATTTTAATTTTGGAGCCATCATCCTCTGCTATATTTCAAAGAAAGGACCTTGTTGATGACATTTTTATAACCCTTTCCTAATACATATCAATCATTACACCATCACCAAATGAATCATGAACAGGACATGGTGGAAAGTCCTGACTTTCTCAAAAAGATATTAGTATGTTGATGGTATAAGCTCGTGAGTCGTGATAGCTACTTGACTTGAAGTGTGTCTGATGGCTTTGTACATAAAAATAGCTTAATTATCACAATCAGCTGGTTTCAGACGCAAGTTGTTAGCGTCATGATCATTATTGATAGAACAGCTGATTAAGAGTAGAATTGGATACGTCATTCGAGGAGTGCTGTGTGCTGTGCTGTGTGACTTGCTAGGCGGCCATATTTCATCATTCTGACTCATATGTAGCGCCAGCAGATAAAGCTAACCTAATCAAAAAACCCTTTAATCGATTTTTAATCTTATGGCTTTACAATGTAGTTGAAAATCTTCAAAAAGTAAAAATTCATCATAGCATAAACGATTGCTTCGTTCTTATGTTTTGTTTCTTTTTATTGGCAAAGTAGAAGAACCGTTAAGTGCACGGAATTTTTCAAATTCCACCTCTATAGTTCTACATATGAATAAGTGCATTCAAACAAACTCTTCAGCATTATTATTAGTGCACTTAGGCATAAAATCTGATCAATATAACCTAAGATACTTGTTCGTTACTGCATCATCTCACTGAAGTACTTGTGTGTTTGTATGACCGAACTCGGGAACCGTGCAGCGTCGGCTTGTAAACAAGCCGTATAAAACGCTCGCGTTTCTGTGTCATGCGCTTGCGCATGACACAGAAACGATGCGGGAACGGAACGGGATGCTTGGACCGTGAAATGTTTGGCTAAAGTCATAAATAATTGAAAATATTTTTTTGTACTCTATTTTTCTGTTTCCTAAATCGGATCTGCTTATATCATGTATATCATTGCACGTGATGTGAACAAAATTATCCCTTTTAGCACATTATTCGATATTCTCTTGATTGAGATCAAAAATGCTTCCTAATTTCGAATGTCCATGTATTGCATTTGTAACACGTATTCCAAAGTATAAAGTAGCCATTTTGCAAAAAGAATTTGGCCAAAACTCTTATATAATTTCAAATTTTCTCGTCCATTAAAAAAAACTACACACGAAATACCGAACTATGTTCTCAAACATTCCTAGTTCACATTTGTTCCAGTCGTGACCCGATCGTGAGGTCTAAACGGCCTCACAGCGGTGTCATTGAGCTTTCTACTATTCGGCGGGAGTCTCGCCTATCAAGCCGCATACTTGAATTCTTTCGCCTTTTTCTTATGTACATATTACTTACAATGTTTAGAACATATTTCTCCTGTTAAGCGTAGTTAGTAGGGTTTAAAGAAGTATGTTGGAGTAATTTTTATAATGGTACAGTCGTTTGAAGGGTTTTTATTGAAGATAATTTAGTTTTTTGTTTAAAATATTTTTGAGGTTATGCGCTTAGTTGTTTGTTTTTTTTAATGTTACTCAGGCTTTTGTAAAGTTATTAAGGACGTAATTAAATAATAAAATAACTGTCTAATAAGTTTTAAACAGAAAAGTAACTCAGATTAATATTTATAACTTCCATCAAAAACAAACACAGTCTTGAAAATACCGCCATCTATTGTGTTCCACATTAAAATTCGACAGATTCAAAAAATCAACAAGCGATTTTAGCGTTTTTATTGTCATTCGGCCTTTATTACTGTGCAAGTCTGTGACACGAGGTGTAGTTAGCAACATACAAGAGTGGCAAGATTATAACAATACACATAATGTTTAATATTGTCATAAAGGAACGTGAATTATTGTAAACTTTCATACACGTGGAGCGAAGTTCTCAATAGAGAAACATGCGCTGCGCCGCGGGCTTGTCTGTGTCTGTTATTCTATGAATGGGTGTTGCTAAGTATAACAAGCAGACAGTCAGCTATTGTCTAAGATTCCTCTGGTTTTCTTAGCTATTTAAAAACATGTTGCCTTAAGTATTCATGCAAGTTTTTGGTTTAAGACGTTCATTATTAGTTAGAGTTTTCTTTAAGTCCAAAAACACAATTTGTTTTAGGTAATACCTATAACTTATAAAGCCCCGATTACAAAAGAGAACTGGGAGACTGACAGAACGATAGAACTTTACAAATATAAACAATTAATGTTGTAGGGGTACTTAAAACAGTTCTGAGTAACACACGGACAAACACTAACATTCATCTCCTTAGAAACACAGCAAAGTATTAAATTTCATCTAATAGGATATCTTTCTCAACTAGTGTGGCCAGACCGCCAATAGAAGCAAACAGAAGGCTCAGACGGAACAGTAACAAAGGCGCTCACTGACTCATATTGAGGGCCTTTATTACTGTTTAAGAAAAAAAAATAGAACCCTTGTTGTAACGTATATTGATTTAAGTAAGTGTAGAAGTTAACTGTGTATTATTTAGAAAAATATCTGATAATACAAAAAAGAATGGGAAATGGGAATGAAAAAATAAATATGTTCTCATTGTTCAAATCTAGAAAGGAGTTTCTTGTACGTTTTACCTTCTACATTTTATTGTATAATGGCAGGTATACATATAAATATGTATAATTATACATGGCTAGTATATGGCCTTGATTTGATCGGTAATATGTTAATGTATTCTATCTTACGCACAGCGGCCACGTACATACAGCTTATATACTTTACATTATTTATATACTTGACCAAATTGAAGATTATGTTTCATACGGGATTATTTTAACTCAATGGCGTTGCTAACCTAAAGATTTTACCTATAAAGAAACATATTTCAAAGCCAAGTAAAGTATAATTATATTATCATTCCTTTCTTTGAATGAAGGAATATGAAAAAGTACAAAATGTATCGGTTCGTTTATCCCACAACAGCTATTGAATATTAAATCCAAGTTTTGACAGCAACTCGGCAAACAATAGCCATTTTGATTTTACTAGGAAAACAAAATGGCTGTGTTTTGCCGCCATTAACATTTGTCACATTTTTGTAAAGCGTTATAAGAAGTAAATCAATATAAAACTCCAAATGTGTCGAACAATAGCAGAAACGTATAAATCAACGTTCCGAATACCTGATTTGCCAAGCACATCGCCCTTTACATCTGTCGGAAGTAAATTATATCGTCATTTCAATCCATTTATGTTGCATCCGCGTACCGACTGGCGCCGACTTCTTCCCTTGAGACCTGCTCACCTTACTAGCACATAGCGTGACGGTACTTCAGTATAATTTAATATAATCTATAATAATTTTAATGACTATTTGCGTTTTGAAGTACAAACAGGCGCCGTACGATTAAAATAAATATTAAAATATGTGCAACTTTATAAATACAAATATATGCACAATTATTTATGGCACGCCTTGCTATTAATCTAGGGTTTAATGTGGTGAATATTTGATTAATTAATCGTGATTATATATTGAAGTGCAATCTGCAATAAGTAAACGGACAACTTAATTTTGAACTTTATGGGATTTGCTGAATGAGTTTTGGAGTATGTAGCAAACTTTAAATCAGTGTCTTTTAACCTTTAAATCCCAGTAATTCGAAACACAATAGTCGAACAATAGGTGCCTGAACGCCAGACTTCGCTTGGGGTTTGATGAATTAAGTAGTAATGTACAAAAAAAACAGATGTCTTGGTTTCTCCATCCTTCCAAGGATCCCAAAAAATCCAAATTGAATTGTCACTCTCACTCAAAACATGCTATCGTACATGTATGTAATAAATTATGTTACATAGGAGTGGCTGTGTATGTGTGAGTGCAGGCTGTGATGTCACTCTCAAACCTGTCAGAAAGACCGCCATTATTTTTTTAATGGTCTAGAAGCTTGTCCAAACATGTCCGCTTGTGGGAAATAAGTTTTAACTTCGTGATGAACTATTTTCCACAAAGATAATAGTGGACCTTGTAATGTTCGTTCCATGCCCAGTTTAGGTAATGGTGTACACGCCCCCTTTTACATGGAACTCGTAAAATTGGGTCTTATTCGAACCGCTACATGAGCATAGCCCTTCGGAAATAAAAGATAAAGTTTTGCTAAAACTTTTTTGGTCTCTGAAAACCGGTTTTATAACTAATATAATATAAAGCGCTTATGCATCATTTAGTTAAAGCATTTTTGCTACTGTAATAGAATTAAAACTTAGAGTAAAATGTGTTCTTACGTCATTCCAAACTTTACCAATATTGTCAGTGCACTTCTTCCAGCTTGCTCAGAAACAGTGGCATCATATTTATATCTTCGTGTCTGTTGTCCCCAGAGCATGGCGAGAGTACAGAAGACGCCCGGAGGACGGACCATGAGCGGCTTGTCTCCGGGTCCCTGGCTACTGACGGTGAAGGTAAATATCTGATCACTTGTTCCCGAAAAAACTCCTCAATTTTGCATGGAATAGGGAATCTTGTGGTGGAGTTTTGTCTATCAAGAACAGAAGAAGCCTATAATTTTGAGGTAACTAGACTAGTTGGGTTAAAATATGGAGTTTGAAGTAGTGTGAATTCCATTTGGTGGAAAAAAGGAGTGATAGTTTTGATACTTAGTGATTGCAAAAACTGCAGAGAAAGTATCGTTAATTTTATATGTTGTGAAGAACAGAGGAAATTGGCGTCCATTGCTAGATTGAAAGTAAATCTGTACTTCAGAAAGAGCTAGAGAAGTAGAGTCATTTAGGGAATAAGAAGTTCAAAGTATGGGATTTCAATACAGTAGCTATCGCTAAAGAGTAGCGATTTGAGGCCCAATTGTAACCACTCTTGATTGTAAAAATTGCAGGGGAGTGGTTTGAAAGCCATTTATTAAACAAACCCCACGTCAGATAGCACTTAGATCCCACCACGCAAACACCACCAGTTAGCTAAGTGGTGTCCCAAACCCATGTCTGATGGCGGTAACCTTGACGATCGATCGCGCCCGCCACGACGGCGCCACCCCATACCACGGCGCCAGTACAAACGCCGTGGGATCGAACGGTGATGGTATTGTCTTGGCTAATATCATGGGATTTCAATGGGTTTTGTGGTTAACTTCATTTTTGCATTATTGCACCATTATTTGGAATGTATTTTGATGTCCTATGATTGTTGAGTTGTCGTTTATTATAAAGATCTTGACCAATTTACTGGTGGTGTTGGTATTTGGGTTAGGACCCCTTATAGAATCCAAATTGATGAGTGAATGATAGATAACAGAGGAAGAATGCTATGATTTTCTTTCTCCGTTCACGTCTAATGAACTTATTAGTAAATCTGTGTAGTAGACACTATTCTAAGTGGTCTCACTTCTTTGGTTATGAATTTTGCTGGTCATGAAAAAGACCAAAGCAAAACTACATACTTTATTTATTCATTAGTATTTCATACTATATTGTTTTGTTGATATAGTACATTACTAAGTAACACCAAGGACAGTGCGACTAGACTCATCGATTACCATGAATTTGATTTTATTAAATCTTTTTTCAATTGGATTCTTGCTGTATTTAAGTACTTCCATACCTACTTCTCCACTGGATGGTTTTATTTCATCACCGAAATTTTATTTGTAACCAAAGTTTTCGTAATTTAAAACTACATCATCTATTTTGAAAACGACAGTGACTTCATCAATTCGGATGCAAAAATCATCACTTGTAGCAAATTTGTTATTTCGTGAACTTTTGGCAATGGCTTGTAGTTTTTAAAACAATAGGTTTTCGTCACCAGCGGTGTTATGTTACGGGTTAACTAAACTGTCCGGATATATCGATGCTCGTCAGCTGGCATCGAACGGTTTAGCAGAGCCAAGTTTTTGGAAAAAGTGATGTCAGGCATTAGAAACGGATAGAACTATCTGGATTCCGACTAATTGGTGGTGAATCTGGTACTGTTTGGAAAATGTTGTATTGGTACCAGTAGCAGTATTCTTAAAAGTTAAAGATCTTTATAATAATTTTGGTTACTGTAAATCTGAGATGTTTAATATTCCCTTCTCTTCTTTCCAGAACGCCAGAGCTGGGAGTCAGAATGGTGTCGGCTTGCGTACTGGGAATTGACCCAGCGTGTTGGTCGTCAATTTGGTGTCCGAGTGAGGGCAGTAGACGTGTTCGGAGGAGGCGGAGGGGCCTGTGGGTCTGGGAGACATGGGCTATGCTTAGATGCATTGGACCAAAGGGGAGATGCACCGCAGGCTGATCAGGTTGGTGTCATTTTATAATATAATCTAAGTAAAATAAAGGTCAAAGGATATTCAAAAAATGCCACAACTTCCAAAATTCCACTGTTCACTTTTATAAAATAAGATTTAAAGCAAGTAATTAAAATCAAAAGCTCGAAAGTGTTCGCGATTACAATGGCAGAAGATAGCCACATTGATTGAGAGTAGGAAGGCAACGTGATAACCCGAGATAACCTCTCGTACGCGAACACAGAATCTTTGTGGGACTTAACGCGATATTATTAGTGATACTCAACGATTTTAGCGAATGTGATACGTTGAGTTTTAAATAGAATAGGTAATGTGTTTGAGGCCTATGTCCTAATGTGAACTGCTGGAGCTAAATGCTTTCTAGTTGGTTAGAGTCAAATTTGTTACTTGAATGCAATAATGCGCGTGGCGCCACTGTCGACATTGAGTCAGTAACGCTTAATTATGATTCACTTTAATACTGCAGAAGTAGGCTGACGTAAATAATTAAAATCGATGTTCGTTTCAACAGGATTTTATCATTTTACAAGTCCTAGCGAACTCTGATAGTAGATACATTCAAGCGATAAGGATAATTACTATGGAGACAAGAGCATCCTACTCTCTTGAATTATTATAAAACAGTGTTCACCTTTCTTTTGACTTTTAATCTTATCTTATCTCGAAAAAGATATTCAGATAGGAATGTGCAGTAAACAGTAGTGTGTAATCAACAATAATAAAACATGGATGTCTTCTATTTCAGGTGAAGAAAACAAGAGCAAAGATCGGGTTAGGTGTCACCCTGTCACTAGAATCAGATGGGGTGTGGCTTTACAACCGCAGCCAGGAGCCAGTGTTCGTGAGCTCACCAGCACTGGACGCTGCTGCAGCCAAGGCCCTACTGGTGTGGAGGGTGGCCCCAGGCCACTGTCTCTGTATCTTCGACCCCTCTTGCCCACCTCCAGCGGTCTCCTTGCCCCACATTGGCCCTGTAGACCCAAGGTCGGTGAGGATCTCGTTCGCAAAAGGTTGGGGACCCAAGTACTCGAGGCGGGATGTGACGGCGTGTCCGTGTTGGCTGGAAGTCTTGCTTGCACCTCCAAGCTGACGCAAATAAAGTGATGTGGATTTTGTGTGGCTGCTCGCTTTGAGATGGATTTGAATTACAGTACCGTATACTTAAGGCCGCGGGTACTTCCCGCGGCGGAATGATTGCCTAAAATTGATGATGTAAAACATAGTATTGCAGATAAAACAGGACATATTTTTGTTACACGATTTCAAAAACACAGATAACTTCAATCTTTATTACCCAGGTATAATTTTTCTCGGTCCCCTCAAAGCAAGCAGTTACACAAACATACTTAATATAAACTTACAATAGTGGAAAACGGACCAAAAGTGAAGTGAACATTTTCTAATGAATTCAGTGAAGTTTTGTTTATTGGACATTATTATTTTGTACATTCGTTGCTATGAAAAAGTCTTCATCTAGAGATAATAACAAAGCAATAGGGAACCTGCTCAGTCCCTCTAAAAAATTGAGCATTAAATATACACATATACTTATGAAGTAGTTGCTACTTAGAAACAAAATTTGTTATTTCCTAGCTGACCAATTTTTCAGGGCGTCGAGTGTACAGTACAGTGCGTTGCACATTTATGAGAACCCGGATCTGGGTGATTTTTATACATCTTGTTGGGAATAATGGTACATTATTTTTTGTTATCATTATGGATTTGTTACTTAAATCATTACCCATTATGCCGTGGATATTTCTATGAGACTTATATAAGACTAGTCTACCTGATACTTCGCTTGCTACCTTCACGCCATATTGCGCGTGAGAGTACCAGGACGGCAGAATGTGTACTTTTTTAATCAGTCATTTTTGACAATTACCATAATAATGTAAATAGTGCAGGTTATATGTACGATGGTGGTGATTGGTGGATGCATGGTGTAATGGAGAAACCTGAGGAAGATATTCATCATTCCCATTCTGTCGACATTCTTTTTCATTCATTCACATCAGCTCATTACTCCATTTTGAAAGTGCCATTAAAGCTACTCTCTTAGATTGGAGCTAGCCAATTTAGTTGTGGAGTAACTAGTTCAGATGCCCTCAGGTTTCTCTCTTGTATCACAAGTCCTATCAAAGTTGAGGCCTTAGATGCGGTGTATAGAGATCTATACAAGTTTTCTAAAACTGTACATATTGTATAAACTCGGCTTTAAGACATGCGAGACTGTATATATAGTGGTATATGTATGTACTATAAATATTTGTAATTAATTATTTATAATTATGGAATATGCCTTACCTTAGCATGTAATTATTTAAGTGTTAGTGTATAATTTCAACATTTTTTTTTACAAAAACGTTCGTATACATAATGGAAAATAATAATATAATTTGACACAAAGTTTGTATTGGAGAATTCGTTTAAAAGTGAAAAAGGCTGTGTGAAAAGCATTTTTATTGACTTCAAGTGGAAAAAAATCAAAAGTGTTTTGAGAGATTTTTAATAATATTCCGTGTTTATAAAATCAATAATTCTGTTATAGGAATTTGACCATCAAACTAGAACCGAATATCTGACCAAGAAAACCACTCGATTACTTGGTAACGATCAAGTTTATCAACATTTACAAATATGGGAATTTAATTAAGAATTTCTCAGAAATTGTAATTATCTCAGTTCTGTGAGTTATGGGAGCAACATGGATTCGCTTAGAATTTTAAACAATTTAAGTTTAAACAAAGATCTGCCGATATAATACTTTTGTAAAAGTGCAATCTTATTAAATTAAATAGTTTTAATAACAGATAAAAATGTGCCTTGCGTTGTAATGGAATAATAATATTAAATAATCGGGGTATCCTGAATCGTATGTAAGAAACAGTCAATTTCACTGGCCTATAAAAATCTATACATTTATATATACATTATAATATGATTTTTATTGTGAAGTTTGCTTCCTACTATGGCGTAACGTAAGCCAAAGAAAAACTTGGACGTATGTTATGCTCTAGTGGTCGGCAGGCGTAAATCCTCGAATTTAAGTGTATTTATCGCTTAGACAAAGTGATTGGACAATAAGAAGTAAAATCTAGTCTATGTAGCGACAGTGCTTATTCGTTCTGTTAGAGCAGTGAGTCAGGCCAGTTTGGACCATTTTAGACTATAACCCTCTATTTTCTATAAGATTTTTAAGTACAATGATAACAAATAATAATAATCAACAATAAATATTTGATTATGGACCCAAAGAAAACAAAGAATCCATTTTAAAATTAATCATTTCTATCTTCCTTTCTTTTTTATAAAGCTCACTGTGCAATAACGTTGTACTAAAAAATCTATAGCATTTGTTGTTTTTTTTTTTGGAAAAATCATGTAGATAATGCGAATGGCAGCTTGTTCACAATAAATTGTATTTTATGCAGTCACAAAAGCATAATTTTGAGTTATTTATTAATGTTTCGGGGTAAAGCTGTTTAGTCATTGCATTAGACTGATGTAGCGCCTTAAACAAAATAAGTTTTGACGTATTTTTAATTATTTTAGAAATAATAATAAAATGTCGTAAATATTTTATCGTCCCTTTCCAAAATAACTTCAAAAATAATTGCAGAATCTTCAAATTCTGGTATTAACAGGAAAATAATTAAAAATACGTCACGAGCTAAATATAATATAAAATTTAATAATGTAGATAGTAATATTGTTCTCCCTGATTCGCCGGTAAATTGTTGTGAGTTTGACTGAAAAGATGGATGAAATTACGTTATGATAAATTATAAATAAAAGAGAAATATTTTTAAAACTTTCTTCGTTTCATTCTTTCGTTCATTGTTTACAGTTTTTTTACATTTTATATAGGGTTACGATTTACAATACATCAAATTACAAAATTACATATAAAAATTATTTTAGTCGAACCTAACCTTTTACACACACAGTGGCAATTAATCTTTATTTCAATGACTTAAAATATGTTCACAATAATAACTTTGCACATAGAAACAACAACACAAACATATATAAAAACAACTAATCACATATACTATTTACAGTCACATTCGTCATTCACTTAATACTAAACACAAATTACTCTAATTTCTTAAGAGTAGTATTGGGTAGCAAGAAACACGCGAGACCGCACACTGAAACAAAAATAGATCAATTAGAAAAATTGAGAACAACGCCATCTAGTTACGACTACTTGCACTATATTGTAGCATGTAGAAGCGTTTTCATTGGCTGGTTGAAAAGTAAATGGTACCAAATCGTCTAGAGGGCGCTAGATGTTAAGCAGTTGTGAGCAGTTGATAATCTTTTGAGTAGAGGGCGCCACTTCATGTATGATGTCATACAAATTTGTATGTCATAATAACACTGTAGATGGCGTTATATTAAATTTCAACGCACGTTTGATTACATTAAAATATGATAAAAATCCAGAACTAAAATTTCGATCAAAGAAAATCGGGTATAATTGGTTGCTATAACCATTTCCATGGCGTGGTGGTTCACTAAAAAATCAACAACAATAGTTTGACACCCATGCCATAGGGGCGGGCTGATAGTATAAGTGTAATAAGATTTCGCAATCGCCATTACTCGATAAATAATGAAACTTATTTAATAGAAAAAGAGAATATGTAACTTACCAGTTAATACGGAGCCAATGGTAATAAAAGGCGGGAGGCATCCGTAGTCAATGAGCGCGGGGAAGATGACGGTACCAGTGATGGTGCCTAGGCGACCGCACATCAGGAATGTTGCCATTGCCATCACTCTGCAAAAAATATAGTTTACTTCATCTTTAACAACAGCCAACAGTCAGTCAACAGTCCACAACTGGACAAAAGGGTTCTTTTTTTTATGAAGGATATCCAACAATCTCCATTCTTCGGAAGTGGGTTGGAAATCGCTGCTTAGAAGGTTCCCGGTTTGTCGTTGTTTGTGGTTGTGGAATAAAAATTTTACTGCCTTTACTATACAGTGTGGAAGAGCCATGCTTCGGCACGAATGGGTCGGCTCGACCCATAGAGTAATTATACTGGATAATTTCCTTATGGCTCGACCGGAGTACCACTGCCTCACAGAAAACCGACGTGAAACAACCACAGCGTTGTGTTTCGCCGAGTGAGTGAGATAACAGGAGGTCCAATCCTTCCCCTCCCCCAATCCTAAATCTTCAAATTCCTAATCCCTTATCCCAAATATCTGTACTGTTCGAATAATAAGGTTATAGGTGTATAATAAGTAGTAGTAATAATAAGTATTAAACCAAAATGTTTAACAATTCTCACCTGAGTGACGTTGGAAACAAGTCAACAGTGATGCTGGATAGCGAAGCACCACAGAGCGAAGTGAAGGCGAGCGCAGAGGTTACCATAGCAACCACTGCGTACGCGCTGGTTCCTAAGAACGGCAGCATTATGATAAGGCAGGCACTGACGACGCCACAGAAACCGGAGACTAATCGTTTGCCACATCTGTAACAGTTAAAATATATACAAATAATATGTATATGACATTTATTCTTCTGAAGTAAGTGGCAGGAAGTATAAAATATAGGTGTTAATCTTTTTTTATGAGGGAAAATCATCAAATGGCTTATCTCGCCCATAATGAGGCGAGATTGGGTGTCAGGCTCTTACTGAATAAAAACCCCCCTGTTCCTGATTCTGCCCTAGACCCCCCCCCCCCCCGCAACCGTGGCTGAACTCGCCCCTGTTGGACCCTGAATGTGGTGGTCTAAGTGCTCTTTATAGGACGTATTGAGGTATTTCAGTAACCGACGCTCAAATTGTAGCTTATTTATCAAAAAGATTGTCTATAGTAGTGCCATTTGATGATAATTCAATACCAAAGTCAAGATAATCTAAGAAGAGCTATGCTTCAGCACGAATGGGTCGGGTCGACCGGAGCGATACAACGGCCTCACAGAAAACCGGGGTAAAACAACCACAGCGTTCTGTTTCGTCGTGTGAGTGAGGTTACCGGAAGCCCAAACCTCCACTCATCCAATCCCTCCCTAAACCCTAAATCTAAAAATCCCTAATCCCCAAAAGGTCGGCAACGCACTCGTTACTCCTCTGTTGCAGGTGGCGAGTCCATAGGTGGCGCTGATTGCTTACCATCAGGTAATCCGTATGCTCGTTAGCCGAACTATTATAAAAAAATATATAAGTATACCTTACCTATTAACAATAGCGCCTCCAATTCCATAAGTAAGCACAGATCCTGCTCCTACAGCAGCACTTTGCAAATACGTCAGCATATCAGTCACAATAGGAACACAGATTTCATCCACAGCTACTGAATGTGTGGTGGATGGGGCAATGGCTGAGCAGAGGCCCTTTGCGTTGTTGCTTATCATCGCTGCCAGTTGAGGGTACCAAAGACGTAACGTGTTGGACCTGGAAGGTAAATGGGTAATGTCAAGTTAGTTTTTGGTGGTTTGATGTGTGTGTAAAAAGAATGACATCGGATTGGGGAAGAGTTCAAAGTCAAAGTCAAAGTCAAAGTCAAAATCATTTATTCCAACTTAACCATCAATAGGTACTTTTGAAACGTCAAAATAGAAAAGTAGTCTGTCAGTCTGTTCGTCAGTGAAGCTAGGTGCTCATTCCAAATTGTAGATTCGAATGGAGAAGAACGAGCAAGAAACTCCATTCGTTACTCTTTTTTTAAAAAAAAATTGTTTTACAATTTCAATAATATAACATTTATAGTATACATTAGTGTACCCTTATGTGAGAACAATGCAGAGACAAGTTGTTAAAAAAAAGAACAAATGAGGGGACCTATCATAAAATTTTACTCCTTTGTCGTCTCGAACATGGCGCTCACATATGCGTACTCACAATCTTTAAGAGTGCTTCTATATAAACTTTTTGGATATATAAATTAAGGATGCATTATTTTTGAGAATTTTACCTAACTGCTGACTATATTTGAGTATTGTCCAGTGGAGCCGAATCAACACGCTGCCAGGCATTCTTATCCTCAATATAATCTGAAAGTTTGTAGTATGCCTGTCTACACAATTCACGTTTAATATAAGTTTTAAATTTTCGTTCGTTAAGATTCAATACAGTACTTGGAATTTTATTGTAACAATTTACACAGAACCCCATAAAGGATTTCTGTACCTTGGACAGACGGAATCGTGGCACAGCCAGCCTATCTTTGCCTCTTGTATTAAAATTATGTCTATCGCTTCTTTTTTCAAATAATTGCAAATTTTTCCTTACATACATAATATTTTCATATATAAACTGACAAGGCACCGTCAGGATATTTATCGTTTTAAATAGTTCTCTCAGAGATTCGAGACGGGGCAAGTTATATATCGCTCGGATAGCCCGCTTTTGTAGAATAAATATTGATTCTACTTCCGCAGCTCGACCCCACAGCAAAATTCCGTATGACATAATGCTGTGAAAATAGCTAAAATAGACAAGCCTTGCTGTGTTCACGTCTGTGAGCTGTCTTATCTGTCTAACTGCAAAAACAGCAGAGCTTAGTCTCCCCGAAAGCGTCTTTATGTGGGAACCCCATTGAAGTCTATTGTCTAGTGTGATACCTAGAAACACTGTCTCGTTGACAAATTCTAACTTTTGCCCATTTAAAATTATGCTACAATCATTACTGTCAAGTTCAAGTCATTATAAAGCAATCAAGTTATTATAAAGCCAAAGCCAAGTCAAATCATTAATTTCAAATAGGCTATAGGCACAAAAATTAATGTCAAAAAGTTCAACGTTGTATTTTAGTCTGTCCTCTGAATGACAAACAAAAAAAACCTACGTTTAAAAAAATCGACTTCAAAAACAAAAAAGTGTCAAATAAGTAATTAAAATTGATATTTTAATACCACTCTTACGTACGCGAAGCTAATACTTTTAATATTAATAATAAAACACTATCAATTCTATGTGCTACCTATTCACAGGTTTGAAGTCGGTGCCAAGTCCTAAACAGAATAAAACTAAATGAGAATTAAGTCTGTTTAACTGCTAAAAGACGAAATTTCGAATAAAAAAAGAATTTTGCAAATCGGTCCAGGCGTCTTCGAGTAATCGGTGTACATACATAAAAAAATAGGCGTCGAATTGAGAACCTCCTCCTTTTTTGAAGTCGGTTAAAAATTAATATCAAAAATTTTGTGTGTCTGCTGTCCTTTAGTGAAGCTATTTGCTCTTAAGTGCAGATCTGTACGAAGAGGGACGAGCTAAATACTCCATGGTTACTCTTTTTCAATAAGTCTCACAATTCCTTTTTTTTACTGTGTTTAAATTACAATCAGAAGTTTTCAAACATTAACAGAGTTGGTTTTTGATAGGAGAAAATCCATCCACTGGCTTCTTCTGTCCTGGGTGCGACAAAACGAGCCTCAGACTCTTACTGAATAAAACCAACCCGTTTCTTCACCTGCTCCAGGCAACGGTACATTTTTACACTTAATCGGCTGACAGAACAACAGCAACCAGAGGTGTACTTTGTAATTTTTTTTATTCCTATAACTCTGATTAATTAGGGATCTGTATACTCACTGATAATGAAATTTTTAAACTATTTGTACTACTTTTAACGTATTTTTCGTAACGAACCTACTTCGAAAACTCCTTTGAAAATGCTCACAATCCGCTAGTATAATAAGGTCATAAGTGTAATATATTTCTTTAGATTGTTTAATTGTTGGATAGGACAATAATGACTGACATTGTTAATTAGGATGGGCGTGTTAAACTAGACTTAACCGCCTACGACTATGAGGGAACCAAGCTGGCCTATTTATTGGTAACTGTCAGGAGTACCTATCTGCTTATATCTGCCATATTCTGTGCACGAACTGGAATGTTTTAATTTTATTGGAGCTGTGTGCCGGATAACTTTATGGAGATACATTAATATTCTAAATGTGTTGGAACTGAACGTGTTTAAAAACATATTTCATTACTTGTGAATTTACTATTATATATTAGGTAAATTACCGTTGATTTTTTCTTTTATAATGTTGAGTACAGATAGTATACATGCAAGACACAACGAAAATTGTACTGAAACTTTGTGTAGAAAAACATTTGGCAATTTTACACGTCAAAAACCAACAAAAAAACATCCCGTTCACTGGGAAACCTTAGGAGTCACAATTTCCTGATATTTAAAATATCTACATATCTATCTCCAAACCCATCTGTTTGCCTTCACAAGAACTGCAATTTGGTTCGCTATGGCCTCAATGGTATAAAAACCTTACCCGAACATACAGCCCATGTGTATGCTGCTGATGAGGAATAGCCATTTGGCGTGAGGAGGTCTAAACAATGGTGCCAGCTGAGCATAACCTCCTCTTAAAGCGGCGATCCCTCGCCCTTGTTGCTCGTTCTTTTCTTCTACCAGGACTTTTACCTGAAATTAACGAAAAAAAGCATTCAAATAAGACATTCGGCTTTTGGAGATGTTATCCTTTACCTATTTGTTTTGTAAGTTCATTGTTCTTCTAGAAGATAAACTATTAAATTTATGACAGAGTCATTGAAAGAATCTTCACACCATCAAAAAAACCAAAGGATATCTAAAACAATATACATACACAACTGGCTTCTTGTTCTTGCTCTGTCCGTATGTTGATAAAAATCAGCCTATCAGTTAAACCAGGATATCACCTATCTACACAACACAAATTTCAATAAAATCGGATCAAATGTCTATATCCATGCATTCTCACAAACTGTCACATCTATTATAATATACCAGGATCATCACTTACAGGGTAATCATCAGCAGGTTTGCCAGTATTCAATCTGTAGATGGTTCTGAACACGGCCATCGCTTCCTCATTCCTCCCTCTGGACATGAGGAACTTGGGGCTCTCCGGCAGACAGAGGAAGAACAGTCCAGTCAGGAGTGGCATTAGCGCGGTCGTGAAGAGAAATATGTTCCACGAATGGATTACTGGAAAGGTTAAAATGAATATTTTAGCTGATGATGATGAGCTTACTCTGTTTGGTCTTATATGATAATTGTAGCTGCATTATCGTAATCACCTGGTATAATATGTCTAATATTTTGAAATAAAAATGTGAAAATTTAGGGATTGTTTTTTTTTATTTTTAATGTTTTCGAAAGTGCAAAATAGGATTTAATTCAAAAAAATATGTTCATATTGTTTCCTTACTGTATTCTATGAGAGAGCCTCAGAAATAGTAAAAAATAAAGACCACTTACCGATACTCCCTCCAAAGAGTGTCAACTCCCAATCTTTGGTGAGGATAGCCCAAGCCACTAAGGGCAGGGTGGTGTTGGCGAAGGTATAGAACAGGCTGGTCAGAAGTATCACACGGGCTCTCAGCTCTGTTCTGTGTAACTCTGCTAGGTACGAGATCAGAACTGCGAAAGGACCGTTGAAGCTAGAAAAACAAAGAGGTGTTCGTTAGCTGTTGTGTTTTTTGTTGAGGCGGCTCGATTGGAGTGTTACCACACAGCTTATGAAAATGGCCACAAGGCGTGAAATAACACACAGCCTTATTTCTCCGTATAAGGGAGGTTGCTGGATGCCTAATCCTTCCCCTTTTCTCTATCCATAAATCCCTCAATTATTATTGTTAAATCTCTAACCTGCTAAAGACGGCGACGCATTTGCAACTTCTCTAATATACATATACATACTTATAATCCTTAATTTTAAGTATGACAAATCCACCTGATTAGCACAGGTTCTACATATATGTATATACGTAAACGATAATCTAAAACCTATAAAAGATAATTATGCTTACAATCTGTTTAATCGCTGCTTTTATTAGTAAATCACGTTGTCGTGCGCCAGCGAATCAAGCTACCCTATTCTGTCCAGTGGGTTCTCGACGTTATTATAAAGAGAGAAAGTAGATAATGCATTAGCGATGCTCGATTGACAGGAGTAGCTTGACTTGCTGGTCAGTGACATAAATCTAATAGCACCTGCTATACACTTGTAGTAATTAACATGTGTGTTGTTATAGCATTTAATATTTCAAAAGGGCCAAGAAAATAGAGTATAGGACTTAAAAAATGACGATGTAAAATTAGGGTAACTAAAAAAAAAATACCAAAATTATTGTTGCAACTACAATTGTTGCTAATTAGTGGCTAGAAAATTTATTTTGTTGCTCCAACCGATAGCAAAATAATCGGCAATAACTTCACATTAAGAGTAAAAGAAATTATTCAATGTGGACTTATCGATCAAGTGGATAGAAGTCAATTAGTTGTTGAAAGATGCAAAGGGGTAAAGAATTTGAGCAAGAAAACAAAAAAAACTATAAAAAATATATCAGACTAGCTCCATTTGATCGTAGCGTGATGTTTTATAGCCTATAGCACTCAGGAACATTGTAGCTACCTATCAGTGAAAGAATTTTGCCAAACCAACCAGCGGTTCCAAAGATTCCCCCCTACATACAAACTTACAAATTTTACCTCTCTCTTTATAATATAAGTGTAGACATGCTTTTCCCCAAAGTCTTCGATAAATAAGATCAAAGTAATTTTGCTTATGCGTTCGCGTGCTAGACAGACGCGCAATTTTATGAGCACTAACAATTAAATGTTCAATTATAGAAATAGATTTAGATTTAATGTTGCTATTGTGCCAAGTATTGTAATGTGAATTGTTCAATTGTTTCTACAATTATTAGCAAAAAGTCAAGGATAGGTACATAAAGAAATATTTTACCGGTACAGAGACAGATAATAATGGGTATAAAGGTTTTAATTTGGTACAAAAATCTTATATTACTTCTTATTAATATTATAAATGCGAAAGTTACGATGCTTGGATGTTTCTTCCTGAATCACGCCAAAACGGCTGGACGGAAATTTGGCACAGGCATAGGATGGTGCTGCAATTGTCCAGCAGTGGAAGACAACAGGCTGATGATGATGATGATGATGATAGGATACACTCCGCAATGGGACATAGGTTACTTTTTACCAACATACTAAAGCTAGAACTAGGAAGCTAGTTACTCATATTAAATGAAATTACATACATCATTAAAATAGTCCAATTAAAAAAGGAACAACGCTGTATTGTCGTACTTTAAGGTCATTTACTTTTATCGATAAAAAACTAAAACAACAGCAATTTTATGGTAGGTACGACACTTAACAAATGAGTGCAGTTCTACTGCTTTAAAAGAAATAAAAGATCTGACGATACTCACAGGAATCCGCTGGCGAATCTGGTGACTAGCAACATAGCAAAGTTCTGGCTCATGGCAGCCGCTATCTCTATCAGGCCGGAACAGAAGAAACCCCACACCATGATCTGTCTTCTTCCCAGGGTATCTGAGAGGAATCCCCATACCATCGCTGAGGAGATCATGCCTGGAAGTAAGATAAAGAGGAAGTTAGGATAATAAAAATTGAAGTTTGAAGGATGTTAACTTTTTATTTTAAAATCGAAGTGACTGCATGGTCGGTGCAGGGACTGGGTAACGAGGAACCACTTTTTCTTTGCATGATTCACGATTTTTTGTTCAGGATCTGGGTGTGATGTGTATGCGAAATTGTATGTTTGTAAACCAACCCATGGCACATTTACAGTAGAAAACTATAGTTAGAGTTTAAAAAAACACGTAGTTTGGCAAAGAAGAACTTATCATGTTCAGGAAAAACAGACTGATACAGGAACAAAATGATTGGATGTATGATATGATGTACAGGAACAAAAACGATGCCCACTATTTATTTAATTTTTACAGGACAGAGCATTAGCTATATGCTACGATTACTACGACGTGCTACGAAGTGCTACGCCACGCTACGAATGGTAACTGATGACGTAGCCAACTTAAAAAATATTTGCTCCAAATGTGCTCAATAATAAACTAATTTATTTGCTCCATTTCTCTTTACTTGACATTATTTTTATACCGAAGTCTTACTGGCTTGTTGCCCATACCAGAGAGCAATACGTAATGTGAAAAAACATGTTTTTGACTTCGCATTCTTTTTGATTATATGTAGTTTAGTTTTGCTGAAATTGCACAACATTTTATGATTCACATAGAAAACAGGTCAGGTATTTAGTAAACAAGAGGTTTGGAGGTTTGTTTTTGATAAAGTTGTGTGTTCCTTTTTCTGGAGTTCCGTGAATTTGAGATGTTGTAGGTAGATATTTTTTTTAGTTGGTATGTTTAGTTGGTGAATCAACCTTTTGTTTATGTATTTTTCTTCAACACTTTTAAAAGACCTTCGCCACTAGTGATTTCTCTAAATGGTCAATTTATTTTTTTGATAATGTAATTCATAGTTTAAAAAGTGTGAAAGAGTCATGCTTTCGCACGAATGCCTCGGCTGGACCGGAGTGATACCACGGCCTCACAGAAATCCGTCGTGAAACAACTACACCGTTGTATTTCGCCGTGTGAATGAGGTTACCGGAGGACCAATCCTTCCCCTCCCCCAATGACTCCCAAATCCCTAAATCTCCAAAATCCTAATCCCTAGAAGGCCGGTAACGCACTCGTAACTCCTCGTGACCATGGCGCTGACTGCTTAATCAGATAATCCGTCAGCTCGTTGGCCAACCTATTACATAAATAAAAAAGGCACGATTATAAAAAGCAAAGAGATCACGTTTCTTCTTTAAAGGCAAAGTTTTAAGGAAAGTCCGTCTTTTAGATTAATTTAAAACATTAGACACGTATTTTATATTTTCTAACGGAATATATACTGGTACTTTCAAATCGTTACATTGGTTTGAAATATTGAGTGATATCACGATTATGTACGTTTTTTACTTTGCCGAGACGTAGACAGCTCTTATTACCATTTTTTTTGTTATATTACTACAGGTACTTTTTAGGTAATTCTAACTGTGTGTAGAATTTCAGTGTTCATAATTTTTGTCAGTGAAAAAATATCAAATGACTTCGACTCGTCACACGTCAGACTCTTATTAAATAAAAATCACCCTATTCCTTCTCCTCCTGCTGGCCGGAGCGGCTCTGTTTTTTCGAAGCCTATCATCATCCTTATTGATATAAGAATATCTTACAACTAAAATAGAACCAATAAAACCCAAGTAAATCAACTAGAATTATTTTACACAACGGCTGTCGTCACACGTTAAATATTTAAGTGGAAATTGCAAGGCTTCACTTTGTTTGTGTAATTCAGTAATAGTATGTACATAATATTGTGTGTACGATACGAACTGGTGATGTGTGTACATATTTACCTATACACAAACAATACACATTGTAGACTGTGTATTGTTGTCACAGAATCATATTTGTTATGTTCTTTTTGATATGAAATTGATCGTCATTCATAGATGTCATGGAGTTATTTTTGGAAAACGTTCTTTTTGTTGTTATTGAAGTTAAACGAGCAAATGTCGCGGAATGCTGCTCATGAATATGGGCCTCTAGCATGGCTTGAAACTAGTCGAGTATCTCGTCAAATTATTACGTGAGTAAGCCGAAAACATTCGTAGATTACAAAAGTCATTCTAGGCCAGAATGGAGGTCACGCAACGTTGTACAGAAGCTAGTGCACTCTTGCAGTCTAACTATGGATTTCGTATATATACCAAATGACTCAATACTTTGTTCATGTTTCCTTTGAGTGAGTAAATAGCATTCACCAGCAAGACTCATACCTGAAGCCTGAAGAAATCAGATAAACAATGATATCTACACACTTTAGTCTACCAATTTAAAAACAGGAAGTTTTAATAACAAAATCAGAACTAACACTAACATTACATTTGCACTATGATAACCATTGAAGCGCAGACTGACAGAATTTAAAAGAATGTGTGATGTCTAACATTGGCTATACGACACACCATCACATCACACGCCATGGTTTTTAATACTATAACTATGGCGTGGTGGCACGGTGGTATAGGCGCCCGGTTTTCATGAATAAAGGTGTGGGTCGAAACCTGGCAAATACAAATGTGCCTCTTAACGAGTTATATGAACTTTCTATTGGTATTTAGACACTACCGACAAAAGGCGAATGAAAACATTGTGAGAAAACCAGGGCTTATAATTTCTAATAATAAGTTTGAAATCGCGTTGTGATTGTGAAGCAATGGGCCCTTATTAAGATTGCCGATTTAGGCCAAGTGTTTTCTGATCTTCTGATTAATAATGACTTCAAGTATTGAATTACAAACGCGTAGCGCGATTTTTCTTATTCGTCATCATTCTTCCTTACTATAAACAGCTATGTTTCTGGTCCTATTTTTAATTTGATCCATTTATATAGCACCTAGATCAAGCTGAATCTTTCCTTTAAGGTAATACCCGCTGTATTGTTATGTATATAATAATATCTTGATTAAAGTTGATGTGACACAATGATAGGTATCACGCGCCCGACTAGTCTTAACACAGCTGACTGAGTAATCCTTCAGTATACATATGTATGTACCTATATATCTATTTGTTCCCAAACACACAACCACGTTACATTTATAAGCACAAATATGTATATATGTATGTACATTGTTATTGATACATTTTCTTTGTTTTAGACGAAAAACAAATGTAAATGTTTGATGAAATAATTAGCTGTGTTCTATCAAGTTCGGTAATGCGACAAAAAGGAGTTTTTATTGTTTATTTAGTTGTTAAGTCATTGTGATAGGTCATGTTGTTAGGTGATTTTTGAGTCAAATCTACGTTATAGACGAATAACAATTAGTGCGTTTCAGATTTCTTGATGTTTTATCAAATGATACTGCGCCACAGTTTTAGATCGAACCACTGGGGAAGTACACATTTTGGAGCAAAAACATAACGGTTCTAATGGTTTAAGTATGGGTGAGCCATGCTTCGGCACGAATGGCGGCTCGACCGGAGTGATACCACGGAATCTCAGAAAACCGGCGTGAAACAACCACAGTGTTACCGGAGGACCAATCCTTCCCATCCCCCAGTCCCTGCTCAATTCTTAAATCTCCAAATCCCTAATCCCTAAAAGGTCGGTAACGCACTCGTAGCTCCTCCGCTGCGGTGTCCATGGGCGGCGCTGATTGCTTACCATCAGGTTATCCGTCAGCCTGTTTGCCGATTTATTATAAAAAAAAAAAACTAAAAACACGGCCTCATAGAAAACTGGCATGTTTTTGTCGTCTCAATCAACCAGAGACCCAGTCTTCCCTCCTATCCTCCGCAATTACGAAATCACCCAATCCTCAAACCTTAAACCCTCAAAAGACTAGCAACACACTTAAAACGAGTGTTCATGTATGGCTCTGATTCCTTAACAGCAGACGCAATGCTCGTTTACTTTCCCTTAATCGGGCACAGGGAATTATTTTCCCACCATGTTCCCAAACGTCATAAGCAGTCGTATATTAAAAAAAAAACAACTTACTAGCTTATTATGCAAATAAAAAAAAAAAAAATTGAGGAATATGTTACATATTTTTTTGTATTTGCATTTTTTTGTATTTTTACTTGCTTATTGAAAACATTTTAATTCTTTTATTTTAAACTTGTATTTTATACAATTTCCATATTAATGTAAACTATTAGAAGGAAAACGCATCCCATCTCAATGACGCAATGAGGGAACATTTACTCTATTCTCGTTATCACGAGATTGCAATGATAAGGCTTTACGACTTGTTGTGAAGCGCCGTGACTGCCACACACATGCGTAGTGACACACCTCCGGTAACCGAACCTGTTTACCTACCACGTCAAACCACTACCGCGTCTTTTAAGGTCTGAGTCATAATGAAAAAAGTATTAAAAGTGGTTAAAGGGTTTCTTAATTATCATCCTCGAACTTTTTTCTTTCTTTTTCACTTACCTCCATAAGTCATAGCAGTGATAGTCCCCATATCCAAGAGACTGAGCCCCATATCACACTGTGCTCTCGTGAAGATGTAGCTGGTGGAGCTGGTGACGGAGACAGAGCTCCAGAATGCTGGGATGGAGATCAGCATCAGGGCTATGTTGAACTTGCCATACCCTGCTGCTGCTATAGCTTCTTCGAAGTCGTGCGGTTCGGGTTCTGTAGGATAGAGGTAGATAATGTAAGGTTATTGTCCTATTGACGGTTTTTTAGTAGGAATTTTAGTATTTATTATTTAAACCCTAAAAAGTGAGCTCATCGCGAAATGTCGTAATTTATTCTGGAGTCTGTTGTGGAGATCAACATTATTTTATAAAGCTTTCGATTAGCTGCTTTTTTGCCTGTCTCTAATAATCCTTGTACCTACGTGGATTAATTTAGATATTAAACTGGAGCGTAGCAGAGGTGGTAGATAAGCTTCTTTTATGTGATAATTATGATTTGCAGAAACAAAATAAATTAGTTGTCAATTCCATTTTGAAAATAAACACCACAATAATATCATGAAACTCATTAAATGGCACATTGAAATCCCACTAGTACTAGCTAAATATCAATCCAAATATTAACGGAATCAGTCCTCAAAAAGCAACCGATTCAGACAGACATAAACAAAATATTTCTCAGTATTTCAGTAATATATGTAGCTGATAAACGCGATGATCACAACAAAAACGTCTCGGTCTCGTCTGGTAATAACTTCGAGATCTTGGAGCGAAGCCAGCAGCACCAAACTCCTTACCTTCCACCAATAAATGTCACTCACTTCAGCGTTATTACTGTTCGGTCATTTTAATATATTATTACTCTATTTATGTTCTCCTTTCAGGTATTCAAGGTCATGGCAATTAGTTTCCGATTGGAAAAGGTGGGACTTAAAATAAATGTCTTTTGGATGATTTGGAAGCGAAACGGCTATGCGAAATGACCTTTTTTCTAAATTATTTATTTAAGGAAATATTTAAAGACTCTTGAAGAGTCGTCGATCGTTTGTACCTGATTCCTAAGCAAGTTTGTAAAAAGGTTTGTCGTTTTAAGCCACCCAGAAATTCAATGTCTTTTTTTCCCAAAAACAGAACCACTGTCGTGGTGGTCCGGAGGTTGAGCAGCCCGCTTCTCATGCATGAGGGTGTGGGTTCGAAACCTGGCAAGTACCAATGTGACTTTTTCCGAGTTATATGTACTCTTTTTGATTATTTAGACACCACTGAATACACATACGGTGAAGGTAAACATCCTGAGGAAACCTGGACTTATAATTACTAATTAATTATAATTTCTAATTATAAGTTTGAAATCGCCAACCCGCATTGAGCAAGCGTGGTGATTAATGCTCTAACCTTCTCTGTATGAGAAGAGGCCTTTGCTCAGCAGTGGGCACTTATAGGCTGATGATGATGAGAACAACTGCAGATTGCCTGATTGTAAGCGACGCAAAATATATGTAGATATAATATGTATATAGATTTAAGTAAGGGTACTCGTAATAAAGTTTATAAATTTAGTTAAGTCAGTCGTCCGCTAAACGCCGCTGCGATCGGCACGTTTTTTACTCTCGCCCTACAATTATATAGTTTTCGAGTGTGTCAATTTATTACAATAAATTCAGTGTTTTGTTCAACAAAGCTGTGTGGTTTCATTGCTGACGACCAGACCCCTACAGCTGGTCACTTCGAACCGGATCTGGTACAAATGTTCCACACACCAAAGAATATGGTGAACACTCGAAGAACCGCAAAGAAGGACGAGGAGCAAATGGAGGTTCAACCCTCAATCCAAAAGGTTCCAGTATTGCCAACAAATGAGGAGCAACAACCCAATGAAGATATTTTACGACGGGCTAAAACTTTTCCTTTTCTTAAAAGTAAACCTGAAGGTAGTGTGGTAAAATCCGAACCACCTTTAACGGCCACCCAAATGATTCCTTCAACGTCTCTTCAAGTCCCCAAAGCCAAATCACAGAGATCATCATCTTCGTCGGTGATTGCTAGGAAAAAAAGGCTGGAACTGGAAGCAGCACAAGCAAAAGCGAAGATCGAGATAGATTTAATCGAAAAACAATTGGCTGCAAACTTAGCGGAGATCGACGACGAGTGTAGTGTGCAATCAGATCACACTAACAAGGATGTAGAAGAGTGGTTGGAGCGCAGCCACCGAGAACTGGAAGCAGAGCCCGTCCGCGACAGGGGTCAAATGAAGGACGTGCGCTGCTCGCCGGCCGCACAGAATGCCGGCACTAATGATGGTACAGTTCACCTTTTGGCCAGCGCACTGAGGGATTTCGCCGCCGCTTCTACCAGCAATAACTTCAATACAAACCTGTTAAGCAGAATTTGTACACCGAAAGATTTGCCATTATTTTCGGGTGACCCGATGGAGTGGCTCCACTTTAAACAGGCGTATGAAGAATCGTCTAAAGTGTGTAATTTCAAAGACAATGAAAACATGTGGCGCCTAAGGAAATGTTTGAAGGGAGCAGCTCGCGAAGCTGTCTCGGCCCTATTAATAAGTGCGACCTCGCCTGAGACAGTTATGTCTACCCTCGAGCTGCAGTTCGGTAATCCAGATATCATATTGTCACGTATATTGCTAGACATCAAGAAGCTTCAGCCAGTGTCGCAAGATTATCATAGGGATATCGTACCCTTTTCAATTAAAGTGCGAAATTGTGTCGCCGCTGTCAAAGTAATTGGTCAAGATGAATATCTGAACGGAATAAGCATAACTACAAGCATACTTTCAAAGTTACCTCCTATTTTAATTTCGAAGTGGGCTGATTACAGTTATGCATGGACCCAGCAAGGTAAGCGACCGACATGGTTCGATATTTCGGAATTTCTAAATCAGGAAGCTACTAAAGTATCATCATTAGCCTTATTGAACAAGAAGAAATACACAGAGGGTACAGTGTTGTTTAATAAAAACATTGATAATAATGAAAAATGTCAGTTCTGCCGCATAACCAAACATAAATTATATGAATGTAAAAAATTCCGCAAAGCACTACGGAAGGATCGTTGGAGTTTCGTCAAACGAAACCGGTTATGCTACAAATGCATAGATGCAAAACATGATCGTGCCACTTGTCCGGCGGCGGCGTGTGACGTCGATAGCTGTGGACAGGCGCACCATAAGTTATTGCATTATAATTCGCGAGAAACTGTGAATAGTGACGGACAATGTGTTAGTAGTAATCCCGAATCGTCTTTGATTGTACCTGAAAGTGAAACAATAGCGCACATTAAAAACAGTGAGTGCAAAGTGTTATTAAAAGTAGTGCCCGTACGATTACACGGACCTAACGGTATTTTTACTACTAGTGCTTTATTAGATGACGGGTCTACAATATCCCTTATCAGCGCTTCACTCGCCGCCCGGGCCGGGCTGCGCGGGCGCCGCGAGTCGCTGCAGGTGCGCGGCGCCTGGGACAACAGCTCGTTGGTGTGCGACACCGACGTCATCAGTGTTTGTTTAGCGAACTGTAACGGTGAGAAATTTAATATTTCTGTTCGAAGTATGCAGAACTTTAGTCTACCCATGCAAAATTATAATGTCATTGATTTTAATAACTATACCCACTTATGTAATATGAAAAATAAGTTTGTTTTAACTAATACTAAACCTGAAATACTGATCGGTCAGGATAATTATAACTTGTTATTACCATTAGAAATTAAGGTCGGTAAATGTAACGAACCTTGTGCCACTCGTACTCCGCTGGGATGGTGTATTCACGGTCTGGTACCTAACTCTCTCTCAACCCGCGCGTATCACTCAGCACTGCATGTTACTACGGTACACTTGGGGTCGGCAGACACTTCATTGGAGGACCTGCACGAAATGGTAAGAAAGTCATTTACTATCGAATCAATGGGCATCTCCGGGAAACCTCGCCAGAACTCCGATGATCTGCGCGCCCTGGAACACCTGGAACAAACGGCAAAATTGATCGAAGGTCGATGGCACGTAGGTATACCATGGAAGGACGTCAACAGCGCGATGCCGGACTCAGAGTGCACTGCACTGTCTAGGCTGCATAATCTAGAAAAGAAAATGGCATGTAATGAACAATACGCACAAAGATACCGGGAACGTATTATGCATTTATTAGGTAACGATTTTGCTACCGAGATTTTGGATACAAAGAAAACAAATAAAACTTGGTACTTACCGCACTTTGGAGTAGATAATCCAAATAAACAGAAGTTACGTTTAGTTTTCGATGCCGCTGCTAAAACGCGTGGTTTATCGCTTAATGATTATATCCTTACTGGTCCCGACTTGTTAAGTTCGATATTGGGAATAATGTTGCGTTTTCGTGAACATGAAATCGCCGTCGTAGCCGACATTAAAGATATGTTTTTAAGAGTGAAGATCCAACAAGCCGATCAGGATGCTCTAAGGTTTTTGTGGCGTGATAGTCCCAACGAACCTGTGAGGACATATAAAATGACGTCATTGATATTTGGTGCCAACTGCGCGCCATTCATTGCTCAGTTTATTAAAAATAAAAACGCAGAAAAATATGAATTATCAAACCCTCTAGCAGTCCAAGCCATCCGAGAGCAGCATTACATGGATGACTATATTGATAGTCAACCAGACGACCAGATATGCCTTTCACTCGCTCGTGATGTTATACATATACATAGACAAGGGGGATTTGAAATTCGTAACTGGCTGAGTAATAGCGCGGTAGTGCTAAACAGCTTACCAAAGGATCTGCTTGCACCCACGGCATCAACAGTGGGGATAGGTGCGCGACATGAAGGTGAGCGCGCTTTAGGTATAATATGGTATCCCGGCGACGACACTTTGGGATTCGTCACTTCATTTCAACGGATATCTAAAGAAATTATAAATGGAATAAGAACTCCCACAAAGCGGGAGTTGTTAAAAGTAATAATGTCATTGTTTGATGTCCACGGATTCCTTGCGCCGTTTACTATAAATGGCAAAATATTACTACAGGAAACCTGGAAATCCAACGTAGGTTGGGACGAACACATAACGGATGATATATGTAAAAAGTGGTTTAAATGGTTAAAACTAATAAACTTAATAAAAAACATTAGAATACCAAGATGCTATAAGCGAGTAAATGCATCTAAATTATGTAATAATATTACGGAAGAAAACAATAGATATGACTCACCATTGATAAGCGCTTCATTCAATAACTTGCCTGCGCGCACACCTTTGTTGCACGAAACTGGTTATAATTGTTTACAGCTACACATTTTTTGTGATGCTTCCATACAGGCTATGTGTGCAGTCGCATATTGGCGATGGTTAGATAATAACAAACAAATACACGTTTGTTTCGTTGCAAGTAAATGTCGAGTTGCCTCCGTAAAACCTGTGACGGTACCTAGACTGGAATTACAGGCAGCTATCATAGCTGCTAGATTAGCTAATACATTACAGTCCGCACATCGAATAAAACCAGCTAATAGATACTTTTGGTGTGATTCCACAACGGTTTTGCAGTGGATTCGAAATAACTCGCGCAGCTACAAACCATACGTAGCCCACCGCTTGGGTGAAATTGATGAGTTAACTCAAGTTAATGAATGGAGATATGTACCTACGTTCTGGAATGTTGCAGACAAAGCCACGCGGGAGAATTTTGATGTCTTGCAGTTGAACGACGAGTGGTTTAATGGACCTTCTTTTCTGTGTGAGTCAGAATCTTCATGGCCAACGAGTACAGTCATTCCCTGTGACGCAGGGGAGGAGTGTGATAAGGAGGTAGTCACAAATATACTGCACGGCAATTACTTACCCGATCACGCTGCAATACCGGATCCGATGCGCTTCTCTTCTTGGATACGGTTGCTGAGGGCTACTGCGATGGTGCTAAAATTTATATATAGGTGCCAACGAAAGAAAATAGATGACTGCAGTCTTATGAAGCGCGCGGAAACTCTACTCCTGCGTTATGCTCAACAGGTATCGTTCGGTAATGATATAAAATTAATTAAAGGTAGTAAATGTTTAGACAAAAATAGCAGGTTACGTACCTTAACGCCTTTCCTGGATGTACAGGATATACTGCGTGTGGGTGGAAGGATAGATGCCGCTGCTGATGTATCCTTTGACGTCAAGCATCCTGCAATTCTAGATGGAAAGTGTCAAATAGCTAAGTTGATAGTAAAGTACTACCACGTGAAGGCTGGACACGGCAACCAGGAGATGGTCGTAAATAACCTGAAACAAAAATATTGGTTAATAAAATTGAGACCTACAGTTAAAGAAATAACTTCAAGGTGCATGCTATGTAGATTAAGAAAATTGAAACCTCAGATGCCGAGAATGGGTGACTTACCTGCTGCTAGAGTAGCTCATCATCAGCGGCCTTTTACCCATTGCGGTATAGATCTGTTTGGTCCAATGGAAGTCACAATAGGAAGGCGGAGAGAAAAACGCTACGGGGTTTTATTTACGTGTCTCACAGTTCGTGCGATTCATTTGGAGACAGTGTCCTCGCTAAGTACTGATTCTCTGATCATGGCACTTCGCAGAATGGCTTCAAGACGTGGATGGCCTGCATATCTATACTCCGATAATGGGACAAATTTAAGGGGTGCTTGTACAGAGCTTAGGAAGTCCGCAGCAGAGCTCGACGAGACATCGTTGCAGGTAGCTGTTGGCATTCACGGCACTCGTTGGACTTTCATACCGCCGGCCAGTCCTCACTGGGGTGGGGCGTGGGAACGCCTGATCCGCAGCGTCAAGGTCGCACTAAAAGTGGTGCTCAATGAGAGAGCGCCAAGAGAAGAGGTACTTAACACGTTACTTGCTGAAGTCGAAGTTATGGTGAATGGACGCCCGCTAAGTCATGTATCTGTTGATGCCAATAGTAAAGAGTCATTGACACCAAACCACTTTTTAATTGGCGCTTCATCAAACTCTCCTCATATGGGCAGCTTTGACGATTCCGATTTGTTTCGACGCCGTCAATGGCGTATAGCCCAGCGACTAGCAGACATGTTCTGGAGGAGATGGGTTACTGAGGTGTTACCGGAAATGATACCGCGTCAACGGTGGACCCAAGACCAAGCGAGATCCATTCAGTTGGGGGACTTAGTGTTCATTGTCGACCCTAATGCTCCACGTAACGTGTGGCCGCGAGGCATTATTGACAAGGTTTTTCCTGGCAAAGACGGCAGAGTGCGAGTGGTACAAGTGCGAACGCAAGTAGGTACTGTCAAAAGGTCTGTTGCTCGCGTCGCTAGAATTCCAATGGATAATTGAGTGCTGCAGCAGCCGCACTGGGATGGGGCTATGTAAGCGACGCAAAATATATGTAGATATAATATGTATATAGATTTAAGTAAGGGTACTCGTAATAAAGTTTATAAATTTAGTTAAGTCAGTCGTCCGCTAAACGCCGCTGCGATCGGCACGTTTTTTACTCTCGCCCTACAATTATATAGTTTTCGAGTGTGTCAATTTATTACAATAAATTCAGTGTTTTGTTCAACAAAGCTGTGTGGTTTCATTGCTGACGACCAGACCCCTACACTGATGTTAAGTTAGTGGCGTTGCCTAAGGACACCCGAAATACCAGAAGAGTTGCAAGTGCGCTTACTGTATTTTGGGGATAAGTTGGGGGGGAGAGGATAGGACCTCCGGTAATCTCACTTATACGGCGAAACACAACGCGGTATATGATACACACATCTTAACAATGAAACACAAACATAAAGATTACGACACGGAAAGATTAACTATAATATCCATGTGTAAGCCATTTTGCTACTAGAGATTATGTTTCATTAATGCGACTTCTTTTGTTTGTTAAGCTTCGACTATAATAGAAGGCACGTTTTCATGCCTATTTAAATGTTAGCACGAGTAGAACTATAGACCGCGCAACAGTAGACTAAATATGGAAAGAATTATCTGAATTAGCACTAGAGTTCTTGAAAGGTTTTTTCCCAAAATCAAACTGTTACTTACGAAAAATATGTTTACGTTAAACCAAGAGATAAGAGCGTTTAAACAATAACAATCTTCTTAACTTTAAAAAGAAATCACTCTACTATGACGTCACATAATCTAAATATATCACAAAGACATACCTTGAGCCATCTTCTCCAAATTAGTGGAAGATAATCCGGTGACCTTGAAAAGATGGTCATGAGGAATCTCCTCCCTGGTCACTGTGGCTTCTGCGTCACCCTTAGCCGTCACCATCTTGACTTTTTTTCAATTTAAATGATAACTAACTTGATGAACCGAATATCTAATTGGCGGTAGATAGTATGAGTATACCGTTGGACCATTCTTAGAGGAATGAGGTAACATCAAATGATAATGTTGTATATATTATGTATCAGATAGTTTGCTAAGGATTTGTGCGGTGTGTTCAGCAAATATGTGAACGGCTTAGTTCACCGCCAACAGCTTCTACGGTATAAATGTGTGTTCGGTGATAAAACTACATTTTATTTTTGACTTTACCTGTTTATTTTTGTCTTATAGTTTGTTATTGTAGCCCTTTATGTCTGTTTGTCATAAATTTTCCCTTTTTCCTGACAATAACAAACCCTTTGTTATTATTACTTTGAAAACATCGAGGTACCAGACCTAGACAATAACAAAAGAATCCAGAAAAAGTCAGTATGAACTACTGGTGTGCAGTGTTATGACGTCACAATGAAAACAAAATGAAAGTGGAGACATTCAATACGCGAGACTTAGATAACATAGAACAGAATAAATATAATTGTAGCTAATTGTAGAATACCTGATAGATATAACGAGTAGATCATTATAGGAGATACGTGTTGCGACGAAATGCACCTTGACGATGATTTTGATATAACAAAAGAAAATCTTTCAGTAAATTTCTCATTTGACTTAGTTTTCGATAGGTACCTTAATTTTTCGACCAGTCTGTTGCGGTTGACGATAATTCTATTTTATGGGCTGATCATTATATTCTTTCTAGACTATGTATGACTAGGCACGGCTGTGAAACGTGGTTATTAAAGCTTGGTCATCACAGGGAAAGACTACCAAAATGCCATGGAAAGAGGCTGGTGTTATAATCAAAGACAGAGTCAGGAATTTAGAGTTTATAACAAGAACATAAGTCATAGACAAAGTGTAGGAGAGCCATGCTGCAGAGTGATACCACGGCCTCATAGAATACCGGCGTGAAACAACGACAGCGTTTTGTTGAGGATGAAGATGCCAAAGTAAAAAATAATTTATTTAAAAATTAAAGTCTGACTGTAGCCTTATATTTGGCAGTAATAATTACATTAATGCAGTAAATAATTACTTCGTAACAAACAAGCGCCTGTTTGTTACATATAATCGTTTGCGTTATGCTATATTTATTAATTACACAGTAATGAAGTATAATTAGTGACATGATTGATTAAAATACGGTCCGTGAGAGAGGTTCTGTATGAGCAATTTTATATATGTTAGGAGGGTGGATGTATCTATAAGAACTAAGTTTAAAACCAGCTGATGTTGTGCCAAATTATATTGTTTTTACCTTACCATAAATGGCTTCATTAAAAACAATGTAATTTGGTATAATAAACTATCGTGAAACCACATATCGTGATACATTTTAAATTTATTGAAAATAATGTCTTAGCTACGCCAAAAAATTAAAATGGAAGTGGGCAGGTCACGTAGCGAGGCTAGAAGACGATATGTGGACTAGCAGGGTGACAAAGTGGAAGGGTCCACACGGTAAACGTCTCAAAAGTAGACCTTATTCGAGATGGGCAGACGAAATAGTGAAAGTACCGGGGTCCTGCTGGACGCAAATAGCCCAAGATAGAGAAAAATTGAATTCTTTAGAGGTTGGCCTTCACTTTTCTTGCACGTGAAAGTCTTAACAATACGTACCTATTCTTTTAAAGCATTAATGTAACTTTAAATAAATTTTCTTTTTCTTAAACTTGTACAAACAACCCCTGTTTGTGATGCAAGAAATAAAAGGCTTTTTATTTTTTATTTTATTAATGTTACATCACATTATATTGTTTTTAATAAAGCCATTAATTAATAGTATAACTATTGTAAAACCATATATATTATTTTTATCAAGCGTAAATTAAGTCAATGTAAATTTTTCAATTTTTTATTGCTTATTCGTTAAAGTTTATCAAGAGAAAATGTCTGGTCTGGTACATGATTTTTTTTTTGTTTAATGTCCAACTATGTATACTATTTACCTGTGTCGTGTATGCATTTACATACTGTTTTACATGACATATTACACCCACGGACAGACCCGTAACGATAAACTGTGGATCAGAGTTGTTCCGTGCAAAAATTGAACCCGCTATATGTTGTTGCTACAGTCAAAGCTCCAACCGGGCATTTACCTAATGTAAAGAAAATAGTAGTATAACGGCCCCCAAGTAATAAAAATAAAAGTGGAATGACAGGCTACACAATAAAACTATTATTATATTCCTACATACTCGTACTTAGTGAAAACTGAATTTGATGTTACGTAATATCCTTATAATAAAACTTTATTGATATTTGTTGACATAACCTCATTAAAAGCAAATGTTTACTGAACAAATATTAGTTTTTATATGACACATCTTTCTAATAAATTACTGTACTAATTGTATGAATGTTTTCCGTTGCTAAGTAACCAGAAAATATCAGCTGTAAGCAAGATGTTTTTAAACTTAGTAAACAATGATACCTATGTTACGAAATATTAATGGCTTCTTAGTTAAAGAAGGTTTGCTATAATAGTGGAAGTAATTCTAGAGACATTAATTATTATAACAAAGAAACTGTTGACTTGAATGAAACGATATAATGTGGGGACGAATTTAATAAAGTACTCTCTTTTTCTTTTTCTTTTATAAAACACGTTGCCCTACGCTAGGATTTTCTCCTGTGTCGTGGGTGCATTTACAAGCATACACATCAAACTCAAACCTAGAATAACAATTTGTGGATCAACAACAAAGAGATGTTCCGCGCGGGAATCGGACCCATGACACGTTGCGCGACAGCCAGTTGCCCAGCTCCCGCGCCAACCATGCTGTAATTTTCTAACCTTTATTGGTATATTGATGGTAAGCAATAGACGTAGCATCGAAGAATTAGAAGTAGTCCTCCATATCACACAAACAGCGAAACACAAGTGCATGGCTGGCACGTGCCTGGGCAACTGGCTGCTGTATAACATGTCGCGGGTCCAATTCCCAAATGGAACAGTACTTGTGTGATCCAGACATTTTTGTCCCGGGTCTGGGTGTGATGGGTATGCGACTTTTGTATATTTGGAAACGCACCCACGTCACATGAGGAAATCCTAGAATAAGACAACTTTAAAAAATAGCTTTAAACTATGTTTAATGATTATAAAGAGTACAATAAAGAAATTTCATAATTTTACTCGAATTGTTTGTCAGGGTCGTGGGCTCGATTCCTGCGTCACGACATCGGTATGTGACTATACCTTCAGATAAACGCGTACAACATTTATCTTAAGATTGGAATTTGTGTTTAATATTTAGCTTTCAGGGTTAAATTATTTTAGTTGATTTGTTGTTATTGTTTCATAAATATTACAAGCAAGGTTTCAGGATCGAGTAAGATTTTTTGAACAAATTAATTGGTTTCAGCACAGTGTGATTCTATAAAATTTGTCTTGCACGAAGTCAGTTGCTCTTTGAAGTTTTACAGAATCACATTGCTGATCTTATTGTATGAAGTGTTCAGTGATTTCAGACTACTTTTAAGTATTTGAGAGGCATGCTTCGGCACGTTCGGCTCGACCGGAGTTTTTTTTATGGAATAGGAGGCAAACTTGAACCATTGAATTAACTCTTCATAGAAAACCATCATAAGACGACCAGACTGTCATGTTTCGCTGTGTGAATAAGAGGTTACATGAGGCCCAATCCGGCCTCTTTCCCCCATTCTTATATTCCAGTTGGCAATGCAGGCCTCACCATCAAGTATGCGCGTTTACCGGTCTATCATTTTATATGTCAGAGGTCGGCAAATGAGCAGACGAATGACCTGACCTGGTAAGCAATAAGCGCCGCCTATAGACGCTCCTAATACGCGTGTGCCATTGTGGAAGCCGGCCATACAAACAAACTAATAATTAAAAAAAAAACAGTTTCAATTTAGTATTACACGTGAAACATAATGACATAATAATTCCTAATATTGTGAAATATACAACGAGTGAGTGTTCAATAAGATTTGAATAGCAAACGGCCATTTACCTTGTTTTGTTAATTAATAATGTAAAAGATAAGAAAAATCCGCGCACATGCGCTCACGTGCGGCGCCTGCGCATCTTACAAACAGTGCGTTGTGCTCGCGCGCAGATAACAGTTATGTTCGTCTATTGCGAAACCTTGCAATGTCACCGATTTATTGTATAACATCAAGGTTATTAATTCAAGGCGTATTCCATAATGATTTTTATAGCTTGTAGAAAAATTAACTTTATGTTTATTTAACTAAAGTTCTCTTTTTCAACTTTCTTGTTTACACTTAATTTAACTCAACTAGAAATGCTATGAGATTAATTATGTCATGCTGATGTTTGAATAAATCCTTATATTTCATCTAGTTTTTCCCGAACTAATTAGAGTCAGTTCTGAGTTTCTAGAGTCTCACCTTATTACTGGTATTATGTACACATCAATAGATTGTAGCAATACTTCTATGGAACAAAGCCCTCTTCGACGTTGGTAAAAAATATTTAGGTTTATCAGAGTCTTTTAGCTGGCTCTCACGGTTGTAACATCCACTAGAAGAGTCAAACTGGTGACAAGAGTCAACCGGAGTGATTGACATAGATGGAGAGATCACAGCGTTGTGTTTCGCCATGTGGGTGAGGTTCCCGGAAGCCATAATTATTCCATCCCAATCTCTAAATCCCCAAAACGACGGCAATGCACATGCAACTCCTTTGGTGTTGCGGTTGACAATCTATGGGCGGCTCCGGTTGCTTAACATTAGGTGGTACGTCAGCTGGATTAGTGCCGTAAGTATCACTTAAGAAAATAATATACAATAAATATAAGTACGGGAGAGCCATGCTTCGGCACGAATGGGTCGGCTCGACCGGAGTGATACCACGGCCTCACAGAAAACCGGCGAGAAAAAACCACAGCGTTGTGTTTCGCCGTGAGAGTGAGTTGACCGGAGGCCCAATCCTTCCCCTCCCCCAATCCCTCCTCAATCTCTAAATCTCCAAATCCCTAATCCCTAAAAGGTCGGCAACGCACTCGTGACTCCTCCGTTGCGCGTTTCCATGGGCGGCGCTGAT